AAAGTCTTATTTATGATACCTACCCTTAGTAGCTTCTAATTTTGATTCCAATAAGAGGTCAGAAAAAAAGATACTTTACTTCTTATTTATGAATTCATCCAGAACTCTTAATCTTGAGCTCCTAAAAATGATTTCTCTAAGATGTCATATTGTGACCTCAGTAAGATGTTTTTCAACAGACTTCGTACAGAAATCTTTCTGAATTGGATGCTGTCTGGGGGGTCTAAGTTACAAAAATAAAATTGTGAGTTATCAATGAAAAACAAATATTTTGCACATGTAAATGTTGAAATGTCTGAAACACGTTTGGAATTGCATATTCCGCTCTCCTGAAACCGTCAAACTCGCCTTCGGCTCGTGTGACAAACTCTTCACTCGAGTGGATATGCTGTATTCGAAACTTGTTACAGAATATACTATTAAGTCATTCTGCATGACACAAACTATTTTTAAATGATAATATATTATTTAACGAACTTGGCACTTAGACCCTTTGGAAATACAATGCTTCAATTACGTCCTTGGGACGTACCCAGTATATCCGCTATAATTTTCCCAAATAAGTAAGAGACTGCACGTACCCATATAGGTCTAGGACGTTCGGACCTATGTGGGACCCGAAATGGACGTACTGGGTACCTCTTGTGCTATCTGGGTATATATCTTGTATCAGACATTAGTAAGTACCGAGTACGTCCGAATCAGGTCCTGAACCTTCCTCAGGACGTACCAGGGACATCCGATGTTACCAAATCGTCGGTCCCCAGAACGTCCTAAGTAAGACATCCTCTGGCCGTCCTAAAATACTTTATTGGGGATTATTGGACAAGCTCTACAGAATTGAGTTATCAATGAAAAACAAATATTTGTTGGAATATTTTTTAAGTCATTCTGCATGACACAAACTATTTTTAAATGATAATATATTATTTAGCCAACTTGTCACTTGGACCCTTTGGAAATACCATGCTTCAATTACTAAAAAAACAAAAATTACGTCCTTGGGACGTACTGAGTATATCCGCTTTAATTTTCCCAAATAAGTAAGAGACTGGACGTACCCAAAACTTCCGATATAGGTCTGGGACGTTCGGACCTATGTGGAACCCGAAATGGACGTCCTGGGTACCTCTTGTGCTATCTGGGAAGGGAGCTTCGTCTGAAAGAAGTATTTTATGAGGAAAGTGTGATCATCTTCGTTAAGTTAATGCTCTAGTCTAATTTTGTATGGATGGTACTTTTCTTTCTTCATAAGAGCGTTGGCTGACTTGACTTTCAGCTGCGACTAGGCTACAAGCACTGTGGGGATCTTCTTCCACACGTAACAAAATTTCAATTTTAGTGTCTTCACTAATACTCTGCCAACCAGGTTTTTGAATAACTTAGACATGTCCAGTCTCTGAATTTCCGTTCAATTTTACTAACCGAGTAATAGGTCGAGCTGGATACTTTGCATTATATAAATTGCAAACTTCTTGTTGTGTTCTAGTTTTATTGCCACATCTTATGAGAATTAAAACTTCAATTCTCTATGTATGTACACTGTACATGTATATGTAAATACTTCGAAATATTTGGAGAACGCTTAAGAGACAGATACTTCACTAAACGCTCAACTTAAAGTTTTTACATCTAGTAGTAAATATTTGTTTTAAATTATATGCTAACAAAGAAATATAAAATATATATAAAAATAAATACTTACATATGGGTGAAAATCAAAAAATCTTTGGAAAACGACCTACAACAATTAAAAAACTAAAATGTTGCTTTTTGTCCATTAAACTTTTTAATATTCTAAAATAAAGATTTCGCAACATAATAAAGCTTATCTTTGAGATCAAGGAAAGGTAGTTTTTTGTTATGTTGATAATTGTTGTCTTCTGATCTCAATTATGTCTAGTCGGTAACAGTATAGTTTGTCGGGAATAAAGGTTCTGTAAATGGAATAATAATCAAAATATATGTTTAAAAAAATACTTATAGTAAATACCATTATAATCAAAATTGCAAATATTGGTGTTATACATCAGAAAAATGTAACAAATCTCATATCGACATCAAAATTTTACCGCTAGAACAGTTACCGATTAGACATCGTAAAAAAATACGGTAGCGTTTTTATGCAAACAAGCCTAAATATATTTTTTTAATGCATAAACAGAAAAACTTACCTGGTTTGAATGACACATAAACACTAACTCTAGCACACTAACCAACAAATGACAGGTATTACGTATCCTGGCGGATTTTAGGCGAAATTACAGTTATCGTTACCGACAGGATGCGATCAAAGCAGACAGTCTGTTACCCAAAGGCTGGATCTTTAAAACCAAATTGTTTTTAAATAAAATGTAATTTATTTAATACTTGGTGTTAGTTTCTTTAAAGTGATTTACATTTGTCCTGTTTTTAAAAATGATTTGATTGAAAAATCTAGCGTAAAATTGTAAAACGTAATAAGGGACGCGTTACCGACGAGACAAAATAGCTCTTTGTTTTTCATTTTAATCGATGTTTTTAAATCTGGGTAAATATTTAATATAAATCTCGTATAATTAACATGCAGAAATAATACTAATAAGTTTTGAGACACTTCAATTCTTTTTCTAATTTTTAATTAGCCAAAGACGCCTACCTAAACATTTTTTGATTTTTACCCATATATCGAACCTTGCTATTTATAGAAAAAAATAAACTGAAAATAGTTATTTATTGCCCTTCCCTATTCCTTTTCCTCAATTTTGACATGGTTTAAAGAAGTCTCTGTATATAGTTTGACATATTTTGTTGACAACTTCCCCACAACAAAAAACCTACAGATTGCTATCCTTTTGTTCATTGCCATTCAAGATTAAACTCATATTTTGCGCGCTTTGTCACAATTGAAAGACCAAGGTAATAGTTTGTATATTATTGCATTTTATTTATTGTTTATACACTGGCGGCAACAATTAGGGGATATTGGTAAATTTCAAGTATCCAATATTTTGCTCATGGTTGTAATACTATAATTTAAACCAACCTTATAAATGTGTATTATACACAAACAATTATTATGCTTTCTTTATTCATGCAGCAAAAAATATTTTTTTTATTCTAAGCAAATTCTCATGTTTTTTTATTTCAGTAGTAAACATCGTTTTGTTCACTTTAAACGTGTTTAATAATTATTAATTATAATTAATTATTTTAAATTTACAATGCCCTTAAGACATTTAATACCTGCCGACGCAAATAGAGCCCTTGGAATGTTACAAGCAGGTATGCGTCAAGTGGATGTTGCTCAGCAGCTAGGAACGTCCCAAAGTGTTATTAGCAGACTCTGGAGAAGATTCACTGATACCGGATCGACAGCTAGAAGACGTGGACAGGGCCGTAGAAGAAGTACGACCCGACGACAAGACCGGTATCTCGAATTAACAGTTCGACGGAACCCCACAATTTCGGCAACTCAACTTCGGCAGCAACTTCAAGACGCCGCTGGAGCCCTTGTGTCAGTGAGAACTGTAAGAAATCGTTTATATGGCTTTGGATTGAGGGCTCGACGGCCATTTAGAGGTGTATCTCTTACACAAAGGCACAGGAGGCAGCGTCAACAGTGGGCTCGTCAAAGAAGAAACTGGGATGTAGAGTGGAATTCTGTGCTGTTCTCTGATGAGTCGCGTTTTGGTCTACACAGTGACTCAAGACGCATTCGAGTATGGAGGAATAATAGAACAGCCAGGCACAGAAGTTACGTGCAGGAAATCTATCCCTTTAGAGGTGGCACTGTAATGGTTTGGGCAGGAATCGCATTGGGGCGCCGTACACGACTTTATGTTTGTGAAAATAATATGACGGGAGTAGTGTATGCGCGTGACATTATTCAGAACATTGTAGCGCCAATTCGTCAAGACGTTGGAGAAAATTTCATGTTTTTAGACGACAATGCTCCTCCCCACAGAACGCTTGAGGTACGAAGAGCGTTACAAAACTTGGAGATTGAACATGTTATGCTGCCTGCTCACTCTCCTGACCTGAATCCAATTGAACATGCATGGGATATGCTCCAGAGAGCACTAAATGACCACAATCCTCCACCTCAAACAAGGAATGATTTAAGGAGAATTTTACCACAATTATGGGAAAATCTTCCTCAGGATCAGTTAGATAACTTAATTCTTAGCATGCCAAGAAGAGTAGCTGAAGTATTGGAAGTGCACGGATCTCACACACATTATTAATGTTTAATATTTAATGCTCAATGTTTACATAAAAATAATATTAATTTTTTTACAGCAAAATTAAAATATTCCTTTGTTAAAATTTTTGTTTTTATTTCTTAAAAACCCCGAATTATTATAATATATCAAATTTAATAAGCCCCATAAATGATTAATATAAAATATTGTAATATCCTCTAATTTTTGCCGCCAGTGTATATCTCTGATCGACTCTCCTCCTAAGGAGCGCAAGAAAAGCTACGAAAGTTTTAAGGAAAAGTAAGCTAATCCATAGTATAATAATTTATGGTAAATTATTGGTGAGAGTAAACGATTATTGTATTCATAAAATATAAAAGAGGAGGTTCATATTTTCTGATGGGGGACTGAATTGAAGGTATCTATATCAAGTAGGGTATTATGATTATTTTGGAGCTTATGTTGTACGGATTGCAAGGGGTGGTACAATTGATTTTTCAGTATTCTAAGGAAATTTTGATGAGATTATAAAAGGTATGCTTACCTTTGCAAGAACTACACCAATATGAGTTTGTCTACCACACAGCACCTAGCAACTTCTTGACCTAATAAAATTATAAGAAAAGATTTAAAAATACACATTTTCCTCGCAAGCCTAGTAATTTCCAGACAACATTACTATAGATACCTTTGAATTAAGTTCCTATTTAGAACTACACCAAGTGTATTTCTTCCAGTACTTACGGACCTCCCCTTGTATTTTAAGTGGAGTTATCATGTACAGTACAAGTGAGTAATTTTAAAACCAAACATCCAGTCGTAACTTAATTTGCATTGTCCTTCACAAAGTGTTGAATAGTTTGGCAGGCTTTCCAGATAAACACTTTTCTCGTAAATTCCAGGCAACGAACAGAAGATGACGGGGACGATTACGACCCCCATCTACACAGGGAAGTCGAGAAACCCACCAAGTAAGACAAACATTTTCATTGGAAAAAGAAATTGTTATTTTTTTTAGTAACGTTGAAACACTCATTCATCTGCTTAAAGGATGCATCGGAACAGGAATTTTGGCCATGCCAGAGGCTTTTAAAAGGTCTGGAATGTCCTGTGGCATCGTGTCGACGTTACTTATAGGCATCCTCACTGCTTATGTTATTAATATTTTAGTGAGTGATTTTTTCAAGATAACTTAAGAAAACTTACTGTGATTTAATTATGGTTGGTTTCAGATAAAATCTCAATATGTAATGTGTAAGAGACTCAAAGTTGGACTGCTAACTTATCCAGAATCTTTGAAAGTCGCTTGTGAAAGTGGTCCAAAATGTTTTCACAATTTTGCTCCATATGCTCCGTGAGTAGTAAATACAATGTGCCGCGTGGACTAGGCAAAACCAAACTGTGTTTTTAGCCTGGTGGTGAACCTCTTCCTTGTCATCTACCAACTGGGTATCTGCTGCGTTTACGTAGTTTTTTGCAGTGCTAACGTGAAATCGGTTGCCGATTATTACATGGACGAAGAAAAACGAATACCACTGATATATTTTATGTTCATGTGGTTTTTGCCGTTTTTTGGTATAATGTGCGTAAGGAATTTAAAGTTGCTGGCTCCATTCTCTTGGGTTGCAAACATCATAACGTTGGTTACTTTTGGAGTGGTTTGCTATTACGTTTTCCCTGGTTTACCTGAGTTTACCAAGTATCCTCATTTCGGGAAAATAGAGGACTATCCATTGTATTTTGGTACTACTCTTTTTGCCCTACAAGCTATCGGTGTGGTGAGATTTTGTTTAAAAATTTAAAAAATTTGTAGACCTGTCTTATAAATCATTTTTTCTCACCAAAGGTAATTGCTGTGGAAAACAATATGGCAACCCCGAAAAAATTCCTTGGTCCTTTTGGAGTACTCAACATCGGTATGGGTATTGTTACAGTAATTTATGTCGGCATGGGTATGATGGGCTACTGGCAATATGGCGAAGACATTAAAGGATCCATTACGTTAAATTTTCCACCTAATGAAATGTAAGTTAACCCACTATTTTTCATACCACATTACATATATTTTACAGTTTGGCCCAAACGATTAATTGCATGTATGCAGTGGCCATTTTTATTTCCTATGGATTGCAAGGATATGTTCCTGTTCAAATATTGTGGACCAACTATATTTTACCGAAGTTGGAAAATAGTAAACACAAACTGGGATGGGAATATCTCCTAAGATTTGGCTGTGTTGTTCTTACATGTAAGTATTACACATTAATTTTTATTTCGAGACTTACTTTTTATTTTTTCAGATATTGTCGCAATTGCAATACCAGTACTAAACATAGTAATATCATTGGTTGGTGTTTTTTGTTTGCCCCCGTTGGGCATTATGTTTCCTGCAATGCTGGAAATATGCGTAAAATACCCTGATTTTGGTCCATTGAGATTGAGGCTGGTCAAAAATATTTTACTTATAATTCTTTCTATTGTGGCCTTTCTGGCCGGTATGTACAGTGTAATATTGGAAATTATTGCAATGGTAATAGACAACAATAAATAAAATACAAATGCTGTTTTATTCTTCTCCTAACTTCTCAGCTTAGTGTAAAATCTTCTTTTAAGTCAGTACTTGGATTAAAGTCCCCAGAGAATCATGGTTTGGGAAAGAAATTAGTCAACTTTTTCCCAACCTGGGGTTTATTTGGACATATACATATATATATATATTTATATAGGTAGATTCTATTTTTATTAAGTTTGACCAAAAATTTACATATTTTATGTCAATCATTTCCCAACGCGATAGCACAAAAACTGCACGACAAGAAGACGTAAAAAGTGCTTGTGTGAAAGTTATAACAAAAAAATATAATCATCCGTGCACTAACTAAACGTGTGTTAAGTTTTAAACGGCTTTAAATTTTGAGTAAGTAATTAAGGTTATGTTTTCAAACTTTTTAATAAATAATACAATTATCATACAATTTCTTACTTTTCGAAGATTGTTACTTCAACTAATTATCAATAAGATGATAAAGTCTACGAGGTGTGTTCAGAAAATATCGGGAATTTTCGTTTTTTGAAAGAAATATTTATTTATTCGTCTACATTAATGGTGTCGCCTTCAAAATAGTCCCCATTGGATATTATGCACATGTGCGAGCTCTTCTTCCAATACTCGAAACACTTCTAAAACTCGATCTTTGGGATAGCCATTAGTTCTTTCAGCGATTCGCTTTTAATGTCATCTATGCTTGCAAAACGACGCACTGTGTCGTATTTGACCTGTATAGGTGACCAAAAGTCGATTTCTGAAGTTGCCCTTACAGCAAAAAAATATACATAAAATTGATCCTTATGCTTTTCTTGACAATGTACAACCATTTGTTTATTTATAAAATATTAATAAGGACCGTGACGTATAAAATTTTAAAACAATGCACAAACACATTTTTTTATATAAATAACTCGTGCTTGGTAAATATGCGATTAAAACTATAAATTATAATTAACAGGAGTTATATTTGGTAGATTGCTTTAAAATAAATGTCTTTTAAAGTATAACGTTAAAAATTTAAAAAATATTTTATTTTATATACAGGGTGTTCCGAAATTAGTGCACCATACTTTAACAGCAGATTCCACGTGCAAAAATAAGAAAAAAAGTCCCTATAAATATAGATCGAGAAATGCCTCCTAAGGGAGCTACAGCCCCCGAAAAGGGAGCCCCTGAATATGGTTTTTATCTAATATTTATAAAAAAGTAGAAACACCCTGTCACTTACCACATGAAACTGTCACCTGTCTTGAATTATTCTATTTTTTCCTAAACATGGCAGTCGTATTCCAAGGACCACGCGAGTCCATTTCTATGGTTGTGATTTAATTGTGAATTTTTATGCCATGTAAAATAATTTTCAAATCAATTTTAAGCGAAAACGGTGTATGTTAACGGAGTTCAACAAGATGACCTTTTTTATGTGCAAAACTCCAAAATTTCATAATCTGACATCAAATTCTAGTACAAGATACGTAAAAAAAAAGTTAAGGTGGTTTTAACCCCACTTCCTATAGGATATATCAATCTGACCCAAACCTCATGAAATTTTTTAAATTGTTATTGTTACGTCTTATTGGTCATAAAAAGTTTAATTAATTCCCTAAATTTCACTTTTCTATCTTTAACGGTTTTGGAGATATTAAATAAAAACCATCTTCAGGGTCTTTCCTTTTGGGGGCTGTAGCTCCCTTAAGAGGCATTTCTTGACCTATGTTTATAGGGACTTTTTTTCTTATTTTTGCACGTAGAATCTGCTGTTAAAGTATGGTGCACTAATTTCAGGACACCCTGTATAGTAATAGCCGTCCACATTTTGTCATTTTTTTAACGTGCATTCAAGCAAACTTTTTGCAAATAGTAATGGTGCCCCAGGTTGCCCCAATTTCTTTTGTGTGTGGAAGTGTTTGTTAATATATGAATAATGGTCGTTATTAAGGATTTTGACGGGAAATGTTGAGAAACTTGGCTACACTTGATTTTATGTCAAAAAATGTGTATTAGAGCTCATTTTTTTAAACTTTTGTCTTTATTTTCCGAGTTTTTTTTTAAATCTGGCGGCTTAAAATTAATTAAAAACATAAAAATAATAAATATATATTAATTTAAAACTAATTTGGTCATTTGAAAAAAAATGTCATGTTGCTTTGACGAAAATACTCGAATATATATATTTTTTACTTTTGTCTTTAGTTTTTCTAACGGGTGGGTCCGGGCGGATTTTGAATAAGCGTCCGGATTTTAAAGTAGTTGTCTTTAACATCAAAAAAAATTACAGAATAATAAATTAGTTCTGAAAAATGCTGCCATTAAAAAATTGTCGATAAAAATTGTAGTGTAAATCCCCCCTTAGCTAAAGGCTGTAGTGTAAAACCACCTTAGCGACTAAAGTCAATGGAAACAGTCCAATTTCACTTGCTTGATCAGATGATCTTGCATCGAGGGAATCACCGAAACTAAAAGAAGCAACCGTTTCATTTAAGTGTTACATTTTACGAAGTCTTTTGTGACACAGGGTATAATAGACCTAAAGGTCGCAGTACAAGGGCCAGAGCTTTATAGCCAAGTGGCTATAAAAATAACTTCTTAACTTTCTTGCTAACAACATCCATTTCAAATAGCCAAATTTAGCAATCTAACGGATTTGAGAAAAATGAATGGCAGATGAGGTATCTAAACAGAAAACTTTAACAGGATAAGAGTACAAGTGCGGTATCCCTTTTAGCTCTGCAAAAGGCCATTAAAAACATAAAAAAGTACGTAGAATAAAAATCGAAAATAATAAAATTGGTATCGTCCAAGAAAAAATTGAACACCCTGTATAAATTAAATTACAACATTAAAAAATATGTATTAATTCAAATATTTTTGTTCCCTACAAATTGACTACAGTTGTTTCTGAGATAGGCATATGGGTTATCTTACGTGGTTCACCCTGTACTTAGCTTCTTTTAATCCTAACTAATGGTTAAATTTATTAAAAATGATCTTTTTGTATAACAAAAAAGCATTTTCAATATGTTTTTCAACAAAAATATTTTTGGTCACCTAATCACTCTGTTTACGACATAGTGCGACGGCCCTTTAAGGTTCTCTTTATTTTTGGGAATAGGAAAAAGTCAGACAGAGGCATGTCTGGCGAATATGGAGGCTGGGGCATCATTACAGTATTGTTTTTGGCCAAAAATGTTGTTCAAAATTTAACAATTTTAGAACAAATTTTGCTGCCACGCGTTTTATACCAAGAACATTCGAAAAAATTTCATGGGTTGAGCCAATCGATATACCAACATCATCAGCGACTTCTATGATGGTTTATAACCATTTCTTCCACTTTTTACATGTTTTTATCGGTTGTTAATGCGCTTGTGCGTTCGGGGAGTTCGTCATTTTCAACGTCTTCACGGCCATCTTGGAAACTCTTATACCACTTGTAAACTCTTGTTTTACTTATAGCAGACTCACTATAGGCCTTTGTTAACATTTCCCAGAATTTATTTCATTTTTTAAGCAAAATTGGATACAAATTATTTGATCCATTTCTTTTAACGAACGAAAAATCGCCGAGCTCATAAAACACGTTTAACCTTAGCGGCTGCCACAGACAAAGTAAACAATGAAAACAGCTAAAGTTTTTATCATACTTCGGGGGCAAATATACCAACATAATAAAGAACATTTTATGACAAGCGGACCCTCCGAACCCGCGAAATTTAACAATTCCCGTTATTTTCTGAACACACCTCGTATGTGCTGCGAAAGGAGCTAAATCCTGCCTAAAATCCTATTTAAAAAATGACATTTAGTGCAAAGTCGACAATCTCCTCTAATAGATTTACAATACAATCTATATACATATGTATATGTATATATATTTAAAATAGGTAAATCTACGTTTTATTGTTTTAAGAATTATAAAAAAAGTTATCTTGTTTATTTTGTGCTATTATACCAAAATAAGACGTAAAGGTAACACTGATAAAATGCCCCATAGAGACCTATATAAAATAATCTATCGGGCGCTACCGGATTCAATATGTCCATTTGTCCATGGTTTTTTTCCGGATACGGCCCGATAGAAAATTTATAGGAAATGACCTATAGGCACACCATAACTTTTACATTTTCCCTATTGAGACCGATAGCAAATAACTCAATAAAGAATATATAGGGATATCCCTATAGAACATCCATAAAACATTTGACAAAATTTTATTAAAACCTATGGGACATGGGTAAAAACTAATGTCTACATTTATGTGTATTTTCCCTATTGAAACCAATAGCAAATAAATCAATGGTGGATATCCCTATAGAACAACCATAAATCCCAACTATGGGTCCTATACATACCGATACACAGGGCCGGATTTAGGCATGGGCCACATGGGCCCGGGCCCAGGGCGGCAAATTTTTAAAGGCGGCAAATTTTGAAGGCCAGTTAAAATTTTGGTAAAAAATCAAGAGCGTTTTATGCAGAATTTTTGTTTTCAATCAGATTTATACACTAATTAAAACTATAAAAAGTTGGAAGAGAAGTTTTTTAATACATTAGATAATTTTTATATCAGACTACACTATTATTCTGCGTAGTGCGTCACTGCGTAGAAGGGCGGCAGTCGATGTACACGAGAAGAGTGGGGCGCGACTCTAGCTTATTCGCTGAGTCATTCGTTATTCGGGGTAATGATGCGTTGGGCCCATGGGCGGCAAATTCGTAAATCCGGCCCTGCCGATACACCCTATAGAAACACCATACATTCCGATACAAATATCTATCAGTTTGAACAGGGTCTCTATGGGGTATTTTAAGCAGGGAAAGCAAAAAAGGCTGATATTGTCAAAACTGCTATAGCAAAACATTACGGGGCAAAGTGGAAAGAAGATGATGAGTTGTTGTACTATAAAAACTTTTTTGCACGAGTCAATCTGGTCCCAGATTTAGAAGAAGCTCCAGATTTAAGTGGTCCAGTTCAGAATTTTCTCACATTTAAATTTTATAACCATTTTAATCTTGCAATATTTAAAAAAAATAAAGAAAAAAATTGTATTTTTTTTCCTTTAAAAAGGAATAAAAATACAATTATTTTTTTGTTTATTTTTCTAAATTTTGCAAGGTTATTCAATAAACACTAAATTGTGAGTTAGGGATTACATCGTTGTATAAACTGTTTCATAGCAGATAGTACGATTTAAGTTTTATGCTTATGCACTAAATTGTGAATTACGATATAAATTAATGATATGAAGTTGTATAAACCCGCCATTAATGTTTAATAAAATAATAATTATAATTATTATTATATGAGACAAATATAATTACGATAAGGCTATCAAGTATTATTCTTGACAGCCTTGTTTTTTAGTAATATTTGTTCAAATTTTTAGCAAAATCATGTCATTTGTCAATTTTTCAAAGGCCTAATATTTGCGCAAATAAACATAAACAAATTTTCATCGTTTTTCCTTGCCCAAAAATTCACAAAATTAAACCAATGGAAACCTACCTAACTTAATTAACTGCTTTTGCATATTATTGGTCACAATTTGATCATTTGGACCTCGCGGTTGCACAAATATCATAGGAATATTAAGTCCTGTATTGTACGTTTATTGGCAAAACTTACGAACCTCAAAAATAGTAGTGTACAAACTGTGGTGGACATCTGCATACAGCAAACACAGGTGAAGTTGTGTAGTTGTTGGGGGCGAAAGAAGTTGTTAAATGTCATACAAACGTCAAAATGAAGGTCTTCAAACTTTAAGCTCAGCACAAAAAGACTTACTTCTTGCCTATAGGCAAGAAGTAAGTCTTTTTTAAGATTATTTTTAAAACAAATAAAATACTGTTGTTCCAAGCAAATCTTAGTTTTCCATGGTTTTTTCTTACAAGAAATTTATTTATTCGAATTGTAGTTATGTTGAATCACTAAAATTCTTAAATTAAAATTCGTCAATTTGCGGTTAAACTTTGTTAATTCTTATTCTGTAGCTATTACAACTTCGATTTAAGACTATGTTTTCTTAAAATAAGCAGAATATTTTTCAAAAAACTATCGACATATTTTTTTACTAAAAATCATATTTTTAATTTGAAAAGATACAGTGTTAAAGTAAAACTATGATATTCTTAAAATAAACCCTATCGGTTCAAATGAAATTCATTTTAATTTTTACAGTGAAAATATAAAGCTGTTGTTCTCCAAATGATTAGGATACTGTTCTTTCTCCATTCACAGGGATGCTTTCTCTGTAACTGGTTTGTTTGTTTCGTGTTTCTTATAGAAACTTTCTATCTTGGGTAGAGTGCAAAACCTGCAAAAAAAATTGCAGAAAAATATTCTTGTTAACCTAACACTGAATGAAGACCCAAGTTATCTCCAATTAAACAAACGACAACAAAATATACCACAATTTCACCACCATTAATTAGACCGAGAACTTGCACCGGTATACCGTTAGTAAAGAAGGAGTCAAGACGAAGGGGATGGTACCTTGGCGCATGCGTGGGTTTATTCAAAACAAACATACTCTTGAATCAAATATATTTTCTTAATTTAAAAATTGAGAATTTTTAAAGAAACCATATAACTATTCAAAATAAAAATTATATTCTATCTGAACAAATACATTTTGTCGTTGAATCAGTTCAAGAATAAGTTTTCTTTTCATTCAAACATTTTCTTATTCTTATGTTAAGTTGTTAAAAATTATTCCAAATGAAGCCGTTATGTTTCAGTTAAAAAAATAATTTAAAGAAATAACATTTTCCCAGTAATCTTAGCGTTTTTCTCCAAGTAAAAGCATAGTCTTAATTAGAACTTATTGTGTTTTGAATGAAGTAAACATTTTGAAAACAATAATTCTTCTTGAAATGAATTTTATTTTTGTGTGTGTAACCACATAATGAACTATTATAAATACTACGACTTTTATTGCCGTTCTCTACAAAAAAGCCTGAACAACTTTCCCAAGACAAAAAATATACAGATTTTATTTACCTTTTGCTGTCATTCTTATTTTTTGTTTGTTAATAGTGTCAAGTTTGAAAGTCGAGTTTTGCGAGATTTGTCACAATTGAAAGGTAAGGAAAATGTATATTTTTTAAATATTTTTGTGTACATGTCTCTGATCAAGTCTCCTCCTGACGAGCGCAAGAAAAGCTACGGAAGTTTTAAGGAAAAGTAAGGTAATCCTTAGTTTTCCATAATTTATGGGAAATTATAGGTGACAGTGCTCGATTATTGTATTCATAAAATATAAAAGAGGAGGTACATATTTTCTGATGGGGAACTGTAGTAAAGGTATCTATATCAAGTGTATTGTGATTATTTTGGAGCTTTATGTTGTACGGATTGTCAGGGGTCGTAAAGTGGATTTTTCAGTAGGAAGTAGGAAATTTTGATGAGATGAGATAATAATTGGAAAATATGCAAGGTGAGATATAAAATGGGAATTAATAGATGAGAAAAGGTATGCTTTCCTTTGCAAGATGCAACTTCTTGTCCTAATGAAATTATGAGAAAAGATTTAAAAATACATATTTTTCTCGTAAACCTAGCAATTTCCAGACATTACTATAGATATCTACTTGAATTGAGTTCCTATTTTGAACTACATCAAGTGTACTTCTTCCAGTACTTACGGACCTCCCCTTGTATTTTGTGTAGAGTTATCATGTACAATACAAGTGAGTAATTTTAGAACCAAACATACAGTCGTAACTTTATTTGCATTGTCCTACACAAAGTGTTGAATATTTTGGCAGGCTTTCCAGATAAATAATTTTCTCGTAAATTCCAGGCCACGAACAGAAGATGACGGGGTCGATTACGACCCCCATCTACACAGGGAAGTCGAGAAACCCACCAAGTAAGACAAATATTTTCATTGGAAAAAGAAATTGTATTTTTTTTAGTAATGCTGAATCACTCATTCATCTGCTCAAAGGATGTATCGGGACGGGCATTTGGGCCATGCCAGAAGCTTTTAAGAGGTCTGGAATGTCCTGTGGCATCGTGTCGACGTTTCTTATAGGCATGCTCACTGCTTACGTTATTAACATTTTAGTGAGTGATTTTTTCAAGATAACTTAAGAAAGCCTTATTGTGATTTAATTATGGTTGGTTTTAGATAAAATCTCAATATGCCTTGTGTAAAAGACTCAAAGTTGGACTGCTAACTTATCCCGAGTCTATGAGAGTCGCTTGTGAAGTTGGTCCAAAATGTTTTCACAATTTTGCTCCATATGCTCCGTGAGTAGTAATACAATGTGCCGCGTGGACTAGGCAAAACCAAGAGGTGTTTTTTAGCTTGATGGTTGACATCTTCCTTATTATCTACCAACTGGGTACCTGCTGCGTATACGTAGTTTTTTGCAGTGCAAACGTGAAATCGGTTGCCGATTATTACATGGCCGAAGAAAAACGAATACCACTGGAGTATTATATGTTGATGTGGTTTTTGCCGTTTTTTGGTATCCTGTGCGTAAGAAATTTAAAGTTGCTGGCTCCATTCTCCTGGGTTGCAAACCTCATAACGTTGGTTACTTTTGGAGTGGTTTGCTATTACGTTTTTCCTGGTTTACCTGAGTTTACCAAGTATCCTCATTTTGGAAAAATAGAGGACTATCCGTTGTATATTGGTTCTACTCTTTTTGCCCTACAAGCTATCGGCGTGGTGAGTTTCCAAATTCGGATTCGGAAAAAATCATTTTGTTTTTGTTTAATTATTTTATTACCTACTAAAGATAATTGCTGTGGAAAACAATATGAAGAGCCCGAAAAAGTTTCTTGGTTACTTTGGAGTACTCAACATCGGTATAGGTATTGTCACTGTAATTTATGTTGGCATGGGTATGATGGGCTACTGGCAGTATGGCGACGCAATTAAAGCATCGGTTACATTAAATTTTCCAACCAATGAAATGTAAGTTAACGCATTTATATAGTGACCGGCAAAAGAATGGAACTAATTCATGCACAAATTTCATATTTTTAGTTTTTTTTTCTGGAGTCTTTGACGTTTTTATTTTATATTTTTTTGTTAGCATATTTAAAACAAATATAAACCACTAGATGTGAAAACAAGTATTTGGAATTTTTGCAAAACTCTTCTTCCCATATCAGCAGAAATGTTTTCCTATGAGAATGGAGGTCCCGATACCAAGTGATAACATTTGGTGTCCACACAATTTTTTGGGAAAAAAGGAACATTTTTTAATGAATTTGCTTTATACTTTGGCCGGTTACTATTTTTTTCATACTATGGTGCTCATCACATATATATTACAGTTTGGCTCAGGCGATTAATTGTATGTACGCATTATCCATTTTGGTTTCCTATGGCTTGCAAGGATATGTTGCTGTGCAAATATTGTGGGCCAACTATATTTTACCGAAGTTGGAAAATAGTAAACACAAACTGAAATGGGAATATCTCCTAAGATTTGGCTGCGTTGTTCTTACATGTAAGTGTTACACAGTAATTTTCATTTTATTTCATCTCCTTTTATTTTTTCAGATATTGTCGCTCTTGCAATACCAGTATTAAATATAGTAATATCACTGTTTGCTGTTTTTTGTTTGCCCCCCTTGGCTATTATGTTTCCTGCAATGATGGAAATATGCGTAAAATACCCCAATTTTGGCAGATTGAGGATGTGGCTTGTCAAAAATATTTTACTTATATTTATTTCTATTGTGGCCTTTATGTCCGGTATGTACAGTGTAATATTGGAAATTATTGCAATGATAAAAGACAAAACTAAATAATAAAAAATGTTTTATTGGTCCATTGGTTTTGTGGGTATAAAGTTATTTACAAGCGGTATATTTTTGACGAAATCTCCTATTGTGTAAAAGGTGTCTTCCAAGTAGATATTTGAGTGTACAACCAAAGAAAAAACCCAGTAGTAAAATACATAGACAGCCAATTTGTGTATGATATACATTCTAAAATTAAATATTGGTTGGGAGTTGATTTATCAATTTTAAAAAACTACTTACATTTTAGCTTGTACTCTACTTCTAGGTAGAGATGAGAGCGGTTCCTTCATACAATATTGTCTAGCACCCAAAATACAGACTGTCAAATAATCTTTTTTAGTTTCGCCATCAAAATCCAGATAAAACAATTTCTTCTCGTAATCGTTCAAATAATTTTTTAAACCGAAATATTTTTCATGCTTGAACTGCCAATCACGAGTTGTGAAGAACTGTAATAACTCCAAACCATTGTGAACCTTCCGCTGAATTCTAATCATACTAAAAAAATCATATATTAGTACCTATAGGTAAATTCGTGACGATATCTTACAATAGTTTTTGACATAGCACAAACATCATACCATCAATTAACAAAGCTGGAATCCAATGGAACAAAATGCACATGATATTGTGGACAAATTTCGAGGACCTTATGTTTCCATCAGGATACCAAATTTGCCCATCAAAGGGATATTCGTAAATTATTTCTCTACCAGTTTCAACCAGTTCCGACCATGTGGTCGGATTCGAGCCATGATGGGTTAGATTATAGACTGGGACTTCCTTTGGTCTTTGGGTAGAGGATCCTAATTTCTGTGCTGCCACAATTGTGGCGTTAATAGCAACGTCAACCGGTACTATATGAGCATTTAATTCTCCCTTACAATGCATAGAACGTATTATACCTTTACCGCCCCCCACAATTAGTCCCATGGGACCGTTTAGGTTGTCCACCCATCCTGGGACTGGTTCCTTTAAAGCTGGAGTCACTGAAGCACAACAATGAATAAAAAAAAGTTCAAAACTTGAATATAATACCAATAGATGGTCTAATGATGCACACAGGCATATTTGGAGATTCTTTGGCTACCAGTTGCTCTGCCAATCTTTTGGTGTAAGTATAGGTATTGGCATGTTGATCCAGAATGTATGGGGTAGCTTTTTCCAAAGCTTCTGGATGCAACCATGTTACAACGTTCATTATGTTGCTAGGATCGTGGGGACTATTGTAAACCTTCAATTTGGAAACAAATATTAGAAATATTTCCCAACACCAAAAGAAAACACAAAGTGCGCAAAGTACTTTTCGCCAACGAAGTGAAACTAAATCTAACTTCTAAATCTACCATATTTAAACTAATAATAAGCTAAGGTTGACTGAACCGTAAACGGACACAGTTTACTAAACCGTGGACAGGTAAAGAGAAACTAACAAACTAATTTATCCAAACTAGAGTTGGGTACCGGTCCGTTATCGATATTAAAAGATTTATTTCTATTCTTATTGATATACATAGAGAAAAAGCTTTTATATTGTGAATGGGTTAACCATTGAGCAAATGGTATTCTGTATTTGCAATACCTAAATTACAGCTATTATCAAATGAATGATTGTCTTACTTTTATTTGTGCAAACATGCTTAAAATTAGTTCAAACATAAGAAGCCATTGAATTAAATTGTGATTCTATTAAATCAGTATAAAAACTTAGTTAAATCATTGTATAAAATAATTCCAATGAATGGCTACATTAAATGCAATCAAAGCTATATTTCCTTTAAATATGTATATTCTTGTGCAAATATTAGTTGTATAATACATTAATATGAACTTTAAATAAAATGAATTCTGGAAACTGCTTCTTGTAGTCTTGTGTACACAGGTTTTTCGATCCATAAAATGAAATTGTTCTGTTTTCTGTAGGAACTATTAGGAACCCTCTAGAAGTGTTGGTGTTATTAGGCTCTAAGAAAGTTGCTGACCCATCACCAGCAACAGTTACTGTACTGGATGGGCAAGATCTGTCTGCCACATTGTTATTCTAAAACGAAATAGGAATTTCATCTTATGTATTTAGAGGCGAATCCTAAAGATTGCTGAAAGTCCTAAAGCAATATATACTTTCAGGACGCCCTGCAAGAATATCATGATGGTACTAAATGAGTATGGGAAGTTTTTTTATGAATAAATAAAAATTTCGTCCATTTAAGCAAAATAGACATTTTAAGGCCTGATATAAAGATAAACTGTGTCCATGATATATACCTATATGAGTACACATTTACCTTTTTGTTATCATTTAAATATAGTTGAGTAGTTAAATTACTGGATAATGCATGGCGGACATACAATTAAAAAACATGGACAACTTACCTTGAAAATTCTGGATTAGAAAGTACAACAACCCCCAAGAAATTTAACTAACAGCCAAACACTACCTACACCAGAGATAACTCATACACTTACATCAATCAGTTGATCACATTGCAGGTTGCCGATGTGTGGTATGGCAGTGGATGCCCTAGCGCGTTTGTCTGAATTTTAGCAATCATTAAATTAAATATAGGCCGCATTGAAAAAATGGGAATGGTAATTGTAACAGTGAAAACATTGGTATTCACTGTAAGACAGTAAAAACTTACTTTACCTTCCATTGGAATAAAAATCATAAACATTCAAAGAAACAAAGACTATTCTTATTTTATTTAATTTTAATTTTTGGTTGAAGTATTATAACTTTTAATATAAATCAATTTTTTATTTAATTAAATATTGTTAATTTTACCTTGATCAGATCAGATCTGAAGTTTATCGATAAACTTTGAATTCGGTCATTTCTAAAATTTTTAAGGAACTACACATTTCCATTAGGTTTAAATCTAAAGAGCCATTCACTCTATAACAAGTAATTTTAACTTGATTTGTTATGGGCTGAATATAATATTTGTAATAACATCAATCCCTTACTCTCAATTGTTCCACACATATTTGATTGAATAAACTTTAACTTTTATTGGAGAAATAAAAAAATAATCAATTATTGCATTGTTATTGACTATATCAAAGCGCTTTTTCTGTGTATAAACTTTTATAACTATCTAGCAGACTTCGTTCCCTAACTTCCTTAATAAGTTTAAGGTTGCTACCAAATCTAGCATGGGCCAAGTGCTCTTTGAACCTTACTTGGATGGATCGTTTTAGTTTGTTCCAGACCTCGAGTGTACTGGGGTTTGAAGGGAATGGTCATAAAATTGACTTTTGTGGGATCTTTTTTGGAAAGTCCTTAACCTAGAAAGGCGAGACTTAAATTTAATTTTATTTACTAACTTATCTACTAGGGTGAGTTCAAAACCATTATCTCTAGCAATGCCTTTCATAAAACTGAGCTCTTTCTTGTATCTACTGTTACAAAGTGAAAAGTTTACTAACCTACGAACAAGAAAGTTAAAAACTAGCCTGCTTATGTTGTGTGCAGTGGTTCGAGTCTGAAGTGGTGTAACGTGCAGTGCTTGTAGGTTTTCTGTTGATATCGAACTCTAGAATATTGTTAAATCTAATCACTAGGGTATATAAAAATGGTAGCAATTTAGAAACAAAATCATCTAAGCTGCAAGCGTTTTGATCGAAAATAGCAAAGATATCGTCCACGTATCTTAACCAAATCCTCGGAAAATACCCAGAGTTACTAAGTTTCTTCTCAAAGCGGCTTATAAAAACATCAGCTAAAAGGGGGTCAACGAGTTCCCCATGCAGGCTGATGCTAGCTTCAAGAGTTAGAGTCTCTTTGAAAAAGTACTTTGGGCACTTTGTATTTTGTTTTGGTGTTGGGAAATATTTCTAATATTAGGATATCTTCATTTAAATAGCTTACCTTTTCTTCGAAAACCTCGATGTCGACAGAACAAAAAGCAGTGCTAAAGTGGACAAAGGCGTCCAGTTTTTGAATGTTCTTGCACACTTCTAGAACCCTCTTGGTGCCTGTTAGATTTTGTTCCACTGAATCGCGCAGATTAGCTTCCAATTTTAAAGTGGCTGCGCAATGGAAAACCACGTTTACTTGTTGATGAAGAGTTAGAAGGTCGTCTTCTGATAGCCCTAGAAGTTCTGTGTTCACATCTCCGGTAAGGATTAGTATTTTTTTGAAGGAGTTTGGGTGTTCTGTTCTCAGGCGTTCGAAAACCTAAAAATGTTCGAGATGTAACGATAAAACAAAAAATTTATACTTACTGGTAGCGTCCACATTTGCTGCAACCGTTCCTCAGGAGATTTATTTCTTTTTTCTCTAAGTAAAATATAAATGTATTTAACTTTCGGGCAGGAAAATAATAATTTTTCCACTAAAACTTTGCCCATAAACCCTGAAGCTCCTGTTATGAAAATGGAACGACCACTGTACCAGTCTGCAACGGGACTAAAGTCTTCTTTGGACATCTTAAATAAAGTTTGTTACACAACTAAAAATAATGAACTTTTATCCGAAATCGGCAGTAAAGTAGTCAACAATCGGCAGTAAAGTAGTCAACAATCGGCAGTAAAGTAGAACTTTACTGCCGATTTAATACGAGTATTGTATGCAACCCATTAAACATTTTAAGATGTGTCTACTGCTCCTCAGCGGCAACTAAATAATATTAAAAAAGCATGCATGCACCGTTGCGGAGGTCGATTGGACCCTTTCATAAAATGTCGTTTAATAAAAATAATAAGTTAATTTTATTAATTAAATTAAAAAATCGCCGCGGCGGGCAAATGTCACCTTCGCAACAAACAGTATACGTAGACACATTTGATTTGATCATCAATATTAATTATTAGTATTATTAAATGCGATTTCAGATAAAATTTAATATGCACCTCGGCATTAAAGTCGTATTTTTTATCACTCACGTGGTTATTTGCCTCGGCTTTCGCCTAGGAAAATAATTTCCAGATTTGTGATAAAAAATACGACTTTACTGCCTTGATACATAAATAACTATTAATTTGTTTGTCAAAGTGGTAAGTAAGGTCATTCCACGCTCTCTGAAAAATGTAGTAAAATTCATTAAACATTATTATTATTATGATCAATTCAAGATATGGCTAAATTTTGGTTGGTAAATTATTTTTTTTTACATAGGTGTGTATTTTAACTTTCTTTATATGCACCACTTAAAAATTAATTATACCAATTACAGTGCTACTTGTAATTCAATGAAAGGTATGATTTAAATAAAAAATTAAAATTCAAATCATACTCAAAACCCATCAATTATGGCAATTGCTATAATTTTAATCTAACCAATTTTACAGTTTTTGCTAAAATAATTTATTTCACAATTAATAAGTACTATAATATACTATGTTACACATTTTTACGATAAAATTGAAATAAAAAAAATTGATACATATTTAAAATTAAATTAAAAATATCAAAACCATGTTTTTAATTGTTAAGTTATTGTTATTAAAATTAGAACCAATATTATTTTAAGTAAAATTAATAGTATATTATGTAATAATAATAATAATAATAATAAAGGTCTTTATTCATAAATAACAATGGTATCTAAAAAAAAACAAAAGTAGAGATAGAGATTGGCAGTAAGTATTATTATTTATGAAAAGGCGAGATTCAGCTTGTTTATTTGGACTTGGACTTGGTCCAGCACAATAAACAGCTGTTCTTCCATCTAACCCTTACCCTTATGTACCTATGATGTTTGATGAACGCCTTTTTAGTCACGAGTTTAAATTAGTCAGGAGCGAGTGCTTAATAAAATAAGTGTCTAGAAAAGTTTATAAACGAGTTGCACGACAAATACTCAATATTATCTAAAAAAATATTTAAATTAAATATTTGCATAAAGCGACATCTAATATGAATTCTTAAAAATTTACTCATAAAAACTGGCGTAATAGGCCTTGTATTTTGTAATAATATGGCGTCTTTTGCTCCAAAAATACAGTTTATCAAGATCTACACTTTAAAACAAATCCGGTTGAAATTGCACAATAAATAAAGATTTTACAGGGGTGAGTCGCAAACAAATGGGTCACACTGTATATAGCAGTTTTTCACAGTAAAAAAGAAGAGAATGTTTTATGAGCACTGCACCCAATATTGGAGTCAAGAAACTATTTAATACTTTTGTATTGTAGCAATTATTAGATACAAGTTTAAAGATTAAAGTTTAGCACTTAAATTATGTTTTAACAGAAATTTATAAAGTTAAATTTTTTTAAACTCAAAACAATTGATAGTCAACAAAATATTTTAAATATAAATGCAACAGTGACAATTTATGTTTAAAAATATTGATTTTTAAAAGTTTTGGTTATAATATTTTATTCTACAAAATTATTGGTTTAAATTTTAAAAGAGTCATTTAAATGATAGTTGATCAATTTTTATTAATACAAAAATTCTTACATTACATTTAAATGTAAGTTTTAAATTTTAAAGTTTTAATTTTTGGATTAAAAATTTATCGACAATCATTTAAATGAGTCTTTACAAATTTAAACCAAAATTTTTCATTTTTAATAATTTTAAAGTGATATATTTTAAGACAAAATTTATAACTTTACATTTAAATGTAAGTCGATAATTTTTAAATTACAAAGTTTAAACTTAGCTTTAGTAGCAAATATTTATGGAGCAAGCACGATTTGGCAACACTGCGGATCAAACTGGCTGCATCGTGGCTCCGATCCCAGACTCTTGTGCCTTCTACTAAAGCTACGTTTACACTTTGTAATTTAAAAATTATCGACTTACATTTAAATGTAAAGTTATAAATTTTGTCTTAAAAATGTATCAATTTAAAATTGTTAAAAATAAAAGTTATTGGTTTAAATTTGTAAAGAGTCATTTAAATGATAGTCGATAAAATTTTAATGCAAAAATTACCACATTAAAATTTAAAACTAACATTTAAATGTAATGTTGAAACTTTTGTATTGAAAATTTATCGACTATCATTTAAATGACAAATTCAAACCAATAATTTTAAAGAATAAAATATTAAAATTAAATTTTTTTAAAATCAATATTTTTAAACTTAAACTTTTACAGTTGCATTTTATATTTAAAATATTTTTTGATTATCATAGGTTTTGAGTTTACAAAAATTTAACTTTTTAAACTGTTTTGGTAGAAAATGTTTTATATGTGTTTTTATTTATTTATTAAATGACAAATTCAAACCAATAATTTTAAAGAATAAAATATTAAAATTAAATTTTTTTAAAATCAATATTTTTAAACTTAAACTTTTACAGTTGCATTTTATATTTAAAATATTTTTTGATTATCATAGGTTTTGAGTTTACAAAAATTTAACTTTTTAAACTGTTCTTTGTAGAAAATGTTTTATATGTGTTTTTATTTTAAATGGCTTGATACTATTTTTAAATACTAAAAAATTTAACTTTACCAAATTAATCTTAATAATTTATTTAAGTTTACAAAATGCCACCTAAATAAATTATACTTGGGAAATTATTTTTATTAAAAAATGATAGTTAGAAATTTTTGAAAAAATTGATAGAAAATAATATTGTTTAATACAGAAGTGAACTGTTAGTTAGTAAATTTTGTCTTTCAATACATGATAGTTGAAAAGATTTTAAATTTATAAATGTAAACCTAAAATTTTTAGTTAGGAAAATTTTAAACCGATAAAATTTTATATTAAAAAATTATTTAATAAATGTTAAAACGGCGTGCCATAGTATTGAGATATTAAATAAATTTCACATTTAATATTATTTCACAAAGAAGGGATTAAAAAAACATTTAACGATATGCCATTTTTGGCTGTAAAATAAACAAAAAACACTCACATTTATTTTTTGGTAGTAGAAGAACAAGTTTCAGGCTGAAATTAATAACCACTGAACTGTTTCTTTCGACAAGTAACTGTTACTACTAAATTATTAATAATAAGATTCAGTACCTATATTTATTTCTACGCTTGTTTTAAATTTATAATTTTGTGCGTATTAAATTATAATTATAATCATAATATGAGAGGGGAATTGAATCGAATATATTGTAGCTACATTGTAAATAATAAATATAATTATTAAAAAAAGTGGAAAACTTTGTGGTAAGAGGAATTTTGAAATGGTAACAAGTAAAAGCAAAAAATTAACAAAATAATTTATATTATAACGCAATTGCTCCGAATAAATGCGGCAACATTTTAAAGAAAATAAATAAATCAGATATCACATTACTGCACCCAGTAACAAGGTTTCGTGAAAGAATCACTTCCGAAAATTGTATTTATAGAGCTGTATGTGGACGCGCATCCACCAAAAAGTCCTATGACTACCAACTGCCACATATAGATTTTTTCGTGTAAAGGAATAATCCTAAAATATACAATACAATTTTTTATTTCTTTACTTATAATGTTTTACCTTTTGCTCCATTTGGGGCTTTCCATATCACACAGTCTCATGTAAAAAAATGGGGGGAAAACAAACGTTAATAGAGTTATAGTAGAACCCCCTATTAAGGAAAGTATCACTCCAAATTGTGGAAATGTTTCTCCTATCAACATCATTGCTATCATCATCATGGTTCTCAAAAAACACCTCTTCCAGCCAAAAACTAAAAAAACAGGTTCTAATTAAAAAATGTATAATTTGTTTTATTAAATACCTACCCTTTGGTACATTGAAAGATTCTTCTAACTCTTGCGATACAGGGTTTGTCACAATCAAAAAGGCAAATATCAAATGCACAGCCATTAGAATGTTAGCCACGTAAACATACGCGCTTTTGGTCAAAGATAATGTAATATTGTATTGTACAGCTTCCCCATACACATAATATCCAGCAGCACTCAAAGGAAGATATAGAAACAGGATAACTAAAAAATATTTAATATTTGGATATATAAACTGTATTTTTATTAAGTTTAATAAAAAATTGACTTATTTTATGCCAATCATTTACCAACACGGTGTGCCTGAACGAAGTTTAAGTCACATAAAAATGCCGCCAAAAACTGATTGCAGTTTCTTGTTCGGGACCCTTTGGTGACTTAAAAATGATATTTACCAAAATCCTAGCTGCTCCTTTTCTTGAAAATTCATGATTTTTTTAAAATTTTTGTTTATCTTAAAGTCTACCTTTGACAGAGTACACATTTGTATATCAATTTTTATAATATTGGAGTATATTGTTAAGGAGATTTGGAGAATACTTTTTTATACTGTGCACATCATTTAATATATACGCTTCTTTTAATAAAGCAAAAGCGTAAATTCATGATTTTGGCATAACACACAGAAAAAAATCTAACATAGTACCAAGAACAGCGCTGTCATTGAATGCATTAAAATTGAAGCAATCTAAATTGTTATTTGCTCAATTAATTACTATTAAACCAAAATAGGGAAATATTTTGCCTAAATGTCAAAGAATTTATTGCGTTAATGTTTACATAGTATACATACAATAGTAACGTTATTAAATAAATCAAATTAGTATTTTATACAATAACATTCTAACATTCTAACAAATAAATATCAATATGAATATCAATAGATTTAGGAGCGATAACTTTTGTTGTTAATTTAAAAACAGTAAACGATTAAAAACCAAGTGCTAACTACCTATTGGTATTATAGGAACTGTTATTCAGGAATACGGATTACAAGGTCCCATTGGTTTAATGGCTCACCCATGCTATGCTATGCTATAGCATAGAGTTTTTTCTGTGCACGCAAAAAAGATATATACCCACCCATGTTTTTTTAGATATTTTTATGTTTATCAGGATACAAAATGGGATTCTTATTAAGACTTTCTAAGAAAAATTAATTTTTAATAAAATTAAATCAACATTTTTTGGAGATAAATCTTTTTTGTGCATTATGCTTTTTACTACATAAAAAAAGTGATTTTTGGCTAACGCTGCATAAATCTAATGATGTGCTCAGTATGAAACAGTATTCTCCAAGTCTCGTTAACAATATACTCCAATATTATAAAAATCGGTGTACAAATGTGTACTCTGTCAAAGGTAAGATAAACAAAAATTTTAAAAAATAAGAATTTTCAAAAAATTTCGAAAAGAAGAGCAGCTAGGATTTTGGTAAATATGATTTTAAAGTTACCAAAGGGTCCCGAACAAGAAAATGCAATCAATAAAAATCGGTGTACAAATGTGTACTCTGGCAAAGGTAGACTTTGCGATAAACAAATACCTAATTAAAAAAAATGATTTTTTAACAAATTTAAAAAAAAGCAGAATTTTGGTAAATATCGTTTTTAAATCTCCAAAGAGTGCCGATCAAAAAACTTTAACCAGTTTTTCGTTCTAAATTGAAAACTACTAAAAAGCCTAAATTGAACAACATTTTAAATATTCTCTAAGCGTTATTCTATTTAATTTTATTAAAAATCTATTTTTTATAAAAGGTTAATAAGAATACCATTTTGTAACCTGATAAACGTAAAAATATCTAAAAAAATGGGGATATATCTTTTTTGCCAAAATCATAAATTTACGCTTTTGCTTTATTAAAAATAAGCGATTTTTGGCTCACCCTGTATATATCAAATGATGTGAACAGTATTAAAAAGTATTCTTTAAGTCTCCTCCATAATATACTCTAATTTTATAAAAATAGGTGTACAAATGTGAACTCTGCCAAAGGTAGACTTTGAAATAAACAAAAATTAAAAAAAAACATGAATTTTTAAAAAATTTCGAAAAGAGGATCAGATAGTATTTTGGTAAATATCATTTTTAAGTCACCAAAGGGTCCCGAACAAGAAACTGCAATTAGTTTTTGGCGGCATTTTTATGTGACTTAAACTTCGTTCAGGCACACCATGCCAACACGATAGCACAAAAAATTGATCGACTTTGTGGCACGGTATTTTTTTTTAAATTTTTTAATAATTTTTTTAGGTCATAAACTAAAATTTTGGGGGCGCTGCGAACAAAAAACCAAGTTTGTAAATAACGGACACCCTAATGTACCCCAGTGCACCACAATAATAAAATAATAAATTTTACTAATCGAGACAAAAACTATACAAAATCAGATAACAGTTTTAAATAATTTAATTTGTATCAAAACAAAAACACCCGCTCCACACACACTGCAACACAAACTGCCAACCACCACATCCTCAGTAATGTTATATTAAACCACCAATTACAGCAAACCCAAGCTCCAATTCTCTTGCCTCAAGCAGCCAAATAGACGCTAACTCGCCTGATATATTACACAGAGAAAAGTAATCTCTTGAAAATGCATTTATTTGAAACATGTTTTCTTGTATGAAGTAAAATTTTCTTATTCGTAGTAACTTGTTTTCCACTAAATAAATTTCTTCTTGTAGATATCGAAATAAATAATTTATTTGAGCCAAGCCAAATATAGTAAAATCAAGAGATTACTTTTCTCTGTGTAATGTATTACCTCCAGAAGCGACCAAAACGCAAGTAGAAAACTGTTTTTTGTTCCTCATGTCATTCTGGATGGTCGGAAAAGTTGAAGCTCCACCAAATGCGAACAAAAGTGTTCCAAACGACAGGAAGAAATCCTTAAAACCGTGAACTCTATGGATTGGTTTGTTGCTTTCGAGGGTACCATCGAAAATTATTTGGATAAAAAATAAAATGCAGGCAATGATGGTGGTAAAAAGTGCTCCAACGCCAACGTAACTAAAAAATAAAACTGTTTGACCTAGTGGAATCAACGAAAATAATATTTCGTGTATTATACACAAATTAAAAATATTTCTTTTCGATTTGTTTGCGTTAATATTGCCTAATAAGTTTAATAAATAAATACCTAATTAAAAAGATAAAATTATTTGGTTTCCATATGCTCTATAAGTCATGAAATATTCTTATCACAACAGTTTTGTTTGCGAAAATTAGAAATTAGGTCAAAATTAAGATATCCCAAGTAGAACAACTGGTTAAATTAAGGTTAAATTTACGTTATGCCTGGTTAATTCATTTAAATAATATTGTACTACAACGTTAAATTAACCTTTAATTAACGTTACGTTAGATATACGAGGTGTGTTTAGAAAATATCGGGAATTTTCGTTTTTTGAAACAAATATTTATTTATTCCTGTACATTAATGTTGTCGCCTTCAAAATAGTCCCCATTGGATAATATGCACATGTGCCAGCTCTTCTTCCAAAACTCGAAACACTTCTAAAACTCGATCTTTGGGATAGCATTTAGTTCTTTCAGCGATGCGCTTTTAATGTCATCTATGCTTGCAAAACGACGGCCCTTTAAGGTTCTCTTTATTTTTGGGAATAGGAAAAAGTCAGACAGAGATATGTACCTGGCGAATATGGAGGCTGGGGCATCATTACAGTATTGTTTTTGGCCAAAAATTGTGTTCAAAATTTTACAATTTTAGAACAAATTTTGCTGCCACGCGTTTCATACCCAAAACATTTAAAAAAATTTAATGGGATGAGCCAATCGATATACCAACATCATCAGCGACTTCTCTGATGGTTTATAACCATTTCTTCCACTTTTTCCATGTTTTTATCGGTTGTTAATGTGCTAAGCACCACAGCACATTGTGCTTGTGCGTTCGGAGCGTATTCACGGCCATCTTGGAAACTCTTATACCACTTGTAAACTCTTGTTTTACTTATAGCAGGCTCACTATAGGCCTTTGTTAACATTTCACAGAATTTATTTCATTTTTTAAGCAAAATTGGATACAAATTTCTTTGATCCATTTCTTTTAACGAACGAAAGTCGCCGAGCTCATAAAACACGTCTAACCTTAGCGGCTGCCACAGACAAAGTAAACGATGAAAACAGCTATAGTTTTTATCATACTTCGGGGGCATGTATACCAACATAATAAAGAAAATTTTAAGACAACCGGACCCTCCGAACCCGCGAAATTTAACAATTCCCGTTATTTTCTGAACACACCTCGTATATAGTCAATTTTGTAAAAAAAAATCTACTTACTGAAACTCCTTGGGCGATGCAAGCCACATGGGCGGTACAAGTAGAGTTGCAATGATTAAAAAATAAGAGCAGGAACTCATTACTGGTAAAACATTGGCAAAGAGTTCCTGAAATATTTGTGCTGCCAGTAGAATGTAGACAGTTCCAGCTCCGAATAGAGTTATTCTTATACAATGGGACACTAAGTAACTAAAAGAAATATAATTTTATATAATTTTTTCTTTAGTATGTTTTTCTTTACTAACCTACCGAAATTTCCCACAGCTTTATCAGCTATAACCGCGTATGGGTTTCTGGTGCTTTTTCTGTGTTCTGGGTATCGTTCTTCTATGATTTGCCAGCAATGGCCCAATTTTATGCCACCGTAAGCCGCATTTCCACAAAATACCAGCAGTAAAATTAACCCAATAAATCCTATAACATTTGTTTTTATACAGTGTGTATTATAATAACAATAAAATAACTTGTCCAGCTTACACAGTAAAAAAATTTGCCCGTGTAAATTTTTTAGTGTAGGGGTAAAAATATTAGTGTTGATTTGTAAGTGTAAAAGTTACACTACAAAATACACTAGGTAGCATTTAGTGCTTATTAACTTTATTAAACACATTTAAATATGAACATTATTCATTGGTACATTCACACTATTTATTATTAAAATAAATCAAAAGGGTAGAAAAACTTATGTACACTACTGTAACAGTGCATGCCAATTTCTTTGTCTGTTTTGATGTTACTAAGAGCTCTTTTTTCTTTACACTACTAGTGCACAGTGTATCACAATTAAAGTTAAATTACACCAATAGACTATTGGCAATAGTGACAAAATAGACTGAAAAAACTGGTAATAACCGAAATGCGTTTTAAAATGTTTGGTTGGTACCTATCTACCTACGCAGTGCATATCCGGAGAAACCGCGTTGTGGAAGTGTGGCATTTTTGTTCAGTTAGATTTTAATTACAGAGAATCCATAAGGGGACATTCTTATTTTTTGGTAAGTATTATACTTCCTTTTTCTTTAAGCCGTAATACTCAATAAATACCAATATGTTAAAAGGATGTCCATACCCGACCTATATTATATATCAATAATTTACGGCAGTAGGTCGGGTACTTGTAACATTAATAATATAAATACATACACACTTGATTTACTTTTTGTTTTCAAGCGTAATGGTTGTTATATTAACCTATACCTACATTTTTATTAATATTATGGAAAATTTGTACACGTGTGGTAAATCCCTGAAATACAGCCGCCTGACGCCTCTCTACCAATGGGATCACCCATTTTTTATAACAGAAAAATGGATTACTGATGAATTCTCAAGATAATTCATTGCTTACAAGTTGACAGCCAGTAAAACATTGCATTGATCTAAAACTTTTACGTTTTAAGGAACCATTTTGCTTAAACCAGCCATACGACTCAAATATAAAATTATATTTTAAAAGGCACCGATTTTGATAATTGTCATAGATTTTTGTTCCAAATAAATGTTTCCCTTTATTTACCTTTTCGTTTTATTCACTACCACCAATAGGTTTTACTCAAATAATGGTGTTAATGTACACTAGAAGTTTGCACTAAAAGAGTAAAAGTACCTTTCTAAAATTAGAACTTCCAAAGTAGTGTTAATTTACACTGAACAAAAGTGGGATTTTACCCAGGAAGTGTAGAAGTACACGATTTTAGGTAAATTAACACTTTTTAATACAGTGTAAAATTACTTTATCCTCAGTGCTATAGTGTTAAATCATACTTGCTTACTTGGGGAAAATTACACTACAAATTAACTCTAATTGTAGTGTTATAAAACAACACGATTTAGTGTGGACCTGTGTGAACTCTAATTACACGGTGCTGTTCTGAGAGGTGATTTTTGGACTTTCTGTGAAACCTAATTTTTTTTTATATTCTTATATTAGGTCATAACTAAAATTTTAAGAGCAAAATAAAAAAAAATTTGACGGTTAATTTTGTTTTTATTGGATGTTTATTAAAAATATGTATGCACACTTTCAATTCTCCAAATAAAACTTGCGATTTTAAATATTATTATAACTTTTTAAATCAGATTAAAGATTAGTTAATTTCCTATGAAAAGGTCTATATATTTTTTTTATCTTTTACTGTTTTGTTGTAATAAACGTTTAAAGTTTTAATTTAAGGTTAAATGTATAGTATACATTTATTAAACAATAATTCTAAGGGTGCCACATTTTATTTAGGGCCGGTTTATTCATTTTTGATTTATTTGACGAATAATTTCTTTGGATACTAGATATTGCCAAGACATGAAAGTTATCGGCCCGATAAACTTTACTAAAGATGAATAAACCGGTCCTTAGTTAAATTTCATGAATTTTTTCGTAACTTTTACTATAATTTTTCATTTTTGTTTATAAAAAACACTTTAAAAAACTAAACAAAAATTATAGAATACGTACCTATACTGAAAATGACAATTCAAACGTCAAATAAATTTTTAATAGATCTAAGTTTCATGGCAACCTTTAAGGATATATTAATTAAGGGAACATAAATGTATACGTCAAAGGTTAGATTAAAAGTTTGAACGTTTATTGCAACAAAACAGTAAAATATATAAAAAAAAATTGTAAAAACCTTTTTTTTTAGTTATGCAAATATTAAATATTTAAATTAAATCGCTAGTTTTAATTGGATAATTGAAAGAGTGCATCATATTTTTAATAAACAGCCAATTAAAACAATTCAAACCGTCAATTTTTTTTTATTTTGCTCTTAAAATTTTAGTTATGACCTTATTAACAAGAATATAAAAAAAAATAGGTTTCACAGAAAGTCCAAAAATCACCTCTCAGAACAGCACCGTGATTAGTGTTGCTTGGAGTTGATTTTTTTTACTGTGTATAATAACAATAACTTGTCCAGCTTACTAAAAAACTTACCGCAATTGACGACAGCCTTAGGTAAGGCTAGCACCCCACTGCCGGCCATTTCGCCGGCCACGAAAACCGTAGCGGAAAAAAGGCCGAGACCTTTTTTCGTAATTTCCACACCATTTTCACTGCACTGTAACTTTTTATTGCTCGCAACTAAAGGATGACATTCTTCGCTCATTTTTATTCGACTGTTATCAAAGTTAATGCAGACTAACGAAATTAAGAATTATTTATTATCTGACCGACATAAATTCTATTGCTATACGCGGTTTTATCTTTATTTATTGAATACAAGGCACGGTCAATTCCACAAAGGTTAAAATGCATTTTTTATTTTTCGAAGAAAAGTCATTCCTCATGAAAAGTTTTTTTTTTTACCAACAAAACTTACTTTACTTACTTTACAAGTAACAGTTATTGTAAGATACTTTTGATTTATTTAGGGTTTAAAAGTGTTTTAATTTTGAATCGATATTGGTTTTAAACTTAGCTTAAGATTAAGTAAAAGTTCTTAAAGGCCACTTAGGCCCGTTATTTCCAATGCGAGTAAACTTTCGTGTTAGTAAACCTAAGATTAACTTAAACTCGAAGTTAACTTGAAGTTACGTTTTTATGGGTTTTTCCAAAGATTTTGCTACCCAAGTTTAGTAACTCTAAGTTAAGAAGTTTATCTTTATGTTGGTATCCGTAATTCTATTATTATTTTATGGATTCTATTTAAATTGGGCAGCCATCTATGAACGGTCTGATAAAGTGCGTTGTTTATTGAGGTTGAATTAAAATGTATATTTTGTTGCACACACAGAAAAAAGTAATCTCTTGATTTTACTATATTTGGCTTGGCTCAAATAAATTATTTATTTCGATATCTACAAGAAGATATTTATTTAGTGGAAAACTTGGGTTTATTTGACTTTTTAAACTGATATTTGGTTAGTACAAGTAAACATCTAGTTGACTTTTTATCTCAGGTTTAGTAGAAGCTTAAAGAAACAAAACCTACATCCAAACAATTTAATTAATTGCTCTAAATAAATATTTCTTTACAATTAATCAAAATAATAAGTTGTCTTAAAAAAAACTTATGATTTACAACCAAATAATAGTATTTTCTTATTGTAATTAACAAGTTACTACGAATAATAAAATTTTACTTCATACAAGAAAACCTGTTTCAAATAAATGCATTTTCTTAAATCAAGAGATTACTTTTCTCTGTGTACAATACCTGTATTATATCGGCAGTAAAGTTCTACTTCACTGCCGATTTTTTCTATAAAAATATAAACATTTAAAGTATTTATTATTATTAAAATATTTAATAATATTCATAATCTGGCAAAAAAATTATTAATTAAATTATATCTTGTAAGGTTATTAACACCACCTCTATTAATTTCTGGTAAATCATTTACTACTGGAGCATTGTTGTTTACTAAGTTAATCGCTGCCTCTTCTTCATCAGTTATTTCTGCTACATCTTCTTGCATTTCACAAGCAATATTGTGTATTGCCGCTGTAGCCACTATTAAAGCTTGTATTGTTTCAGTTTTTAATCGAAGTCCTAAAGCCAATCCCGGAAACCTTCTTTTCCAAACTCCATAAGATCTTTCGACGACATTGCGTGTGCGAATTTGTGCCTCATTGTACAAATTTTCTGCTACGTTTTCTGGTTGCCTCAGTGGTGTTAAAAGGTAGGGCTTTATTGGGTACCCACTGTCACCAACGATGATGCAGTTTCTAAATTGTACCCTTTCGAATGACTGCAGCATTGTAGAATTTCGGAATATTTGAGCATCATGAGTTGCTCCTGGCCAGCGGGCAACAATATTCCGTATCTTAAGATTTGCATCAGCAATATTTTGGACATTAATTGAAAAATACTGTTTTCTGTTTCTATACATTTCAGCAAATTCTCCACCAGGGGATTGTATTTTTACATGGCTACAATCAATGGCCCCTATACACATTGGCAGCCTTGCAATATTAAAAAAATTCGTTTGACATTCAGCTATTTCCTCAGCATCAATCGGCATTCTTACTCGTTTGATTGTTTTACTAGCAGTGGATATGTGTACCCCACAAAAATCTGCTACTACATTTAAAAAAGATCTAGTGGCATAAAATCGGAGGGTCATTAATAACTGATTTTCCGCTGAAAGTGCGTCATTTCTGTAAAACAAATATTTATTTTCCTTACAAAAACATTAATTTGTAAATTAAGTTATTACCTATCACTTGTATATAAAATAACATTCTCAATTTGTTCTAATATGTCCTCAACTGTTTGGGGAGATAAACGAAACCGCTAAAAAAACTCTTTACCGTCCCATTTTTCAAAATGGTTAATTCGCTCCCGCACTACTCGTTGCTTACGAATTGGGATCTCTTCATCATCACTGTAAGCGTTTATATCGTATAAATACATGATACATAATATATTATGTATTATATATTATATTATATAATATAAGAGGTATAACAGTTTAATGTTGTCAAATTGACATAAGTTAATTCACAATGTCTAGGTTAACTTGTACCTGAGCTTCGAGTTAATTGTAAAGCGAGTTAACTCACAAATTAAAGTAATCCAGACATTGAAATATGGATTTTCAAATTTAACTTTAAGTTTAGATGTAACTCGCATTTAACTCGCAGTGGAAATAACGGGCCTTATTGTTATGCAAATAATTTAATGTGCTCTTTAAATTAAAATAAAAAAGTTTTTGCTCTTAATGCCTCATTGATCCTATAATGTTTTTATAATGCTCTCGGCATTGGCTATAGCCAAATATATTTTAAAACTAATTTGCTTTTTTAAAGGATTAAATAGGTTGTAAAACAATCCAATTTGGAACAAATATTTTTAATTTTGTTTTATGGAGTAAGCACTAAACAGTCGGCCTTCGCTCGGCATAGGCGGTTGACCGGCGGTTCGGCTTGCCCCAGCCGGCCCGCTTACGGCCCGCGTTATGTTACCCCGGTACCGTTTAGCCATGTTCTAACCGAAGTCGGCTGGAATACGGCCTGCCGCGGCATAAGCGATACATCTCACGGCTGCTTACGCACGCGAGCTAACTATAAATAGCGATTGGTTGCAATATTTAATTGGAAGTGTGCGTCCGTAATGGCATAGTGAAACATTAATTGTTTGGAGTCCCCATCTCCATCCTGATCTGCTCAGTAGCGAATAATGTCTAGCTAGTCGAGAGTGTTAAAAAACTTATAGGATATACCTCTCCAGGACGTGAGTAGGCTTTTTTGAATGGCAAGGCGGATATGCTACTGGAATAATAGCGGTATTGTCATCGAGACAAACTGCTCTTTGAGAATCTAGTACACAGGAGTATGATAAAGCAAATTAAAGTGTTAGCTGTAAAAAGTACTTACAGTACAAGTAAATAGTCTTAAGACTTAAGATCTTAGGACAGTTTCCTCCAGAAATTTGGTTTTAACTGCTTCCACAAAACATACTTTTTAAGAAGCCTTAAAACCAAAATACTGTCATAGGGATATGGTTTTATAAGGGTATAAATGACATCCCATAATAAAGCAAAGTTAAAACACAAGGCGTTATGGTTTTAAAAGTAGGTCTTGTTGTGTCTAATAAAGATTTTTATTAAAGTAATATAGTCCTAAGAACAATTAATCTTTATGATAACTCCTATAAACCACAACATCTTTTTAAGCTTTGATATAATATTTAAGTAAAAGTCAAGAGTTACATGTGTTACTTGTGTATTGATTCTTAAGGTAATTTAGTCTGCTGCAAGTATATTTTAAATGCAAACAAGTTTTAATACATAAAATTGAAGTTGCCTTAAAAAACTTTTTAAGAATATAAAATTAAAACTAAGGATGTCTTAAAGATCATTTGGTTTGAAGAAGGTAACGTCACAAATTGGCGCCCGAGCAGGACATTTTAAATAAAACAATGATTTTTGTATATTAATTTTATTAAATAATAGGATATATCACATACAATATTTATTATTGTATGAATAAAAATATCTCACAAAATATATTATTCTATATATTTTTGCATGCCTTTTTTATAATAACAGCCTTTTTAACACGTTTTTTGAGCGATAATATACAGCGGTAAAATTTATATTTGGCAAATAACTTTATATTATAAAAATACTTAAAATTTGAATTAACAAATTTCTATACTAAAATACTTTAATTAGGTGGTAAAATCAAGCTCTTCTTTATTACAATATTTACAAAAAATATATACAGGTTATTACGAAATCTGAACTTCTTAACAAAAATCTGCATAAATAAATTATCACTTTTAATTAATAGAAAATCACAATGGTACGTTTCTTTAATCTTATTTAAAATTAGTGTGAGAAGAATTTGTCTATAATCTTCATTAGACTAGTGCCTGTTCCGACTATAAGTCCAAATGTGGAAAATATTATCAGAAATACATTTTTGCATATTATCATGATACCTCTGGAACCATGAAGGGTATCCCAATGGGTGCTGAGGTCCACAATGGCCGGGAAAGCGATGCCAAGTGCTGATAAACAAAGGGCACCAAATAGAGAGATAAAGAGATCTAGTTCTGGCACAGCAACTGCTAAACAAACTAAAAAAAAGTAAAACATTAGGTTTTATTATTGCTGTAAGAGCCTCTTTCAAAATTACACCTTAAAGCTATTTGCCCTTTAATGAGCAGTTACAGCAAGCTTAATACTTTCTTAGAACCAAAAAGGAGATTCATTTTATTGTCTTGAAGGCCTATTTTTAGCTAAAGGTTTTAATATAATTGGTTTAATGAGGTGTCCTTAGACGAAGAGGTCGAGCTAGTTAGCATGTAAGCAGTATTTTTTTTATCTAATACTGCTTTGGTTTAGAATAATATAAAACCATTATCTCTCGAATAAAGACTTTAATATTCTATAGACTAGGGTTTTAAAATTTCCGGAAAAATTGAGCCGGCAGAAAAAACCTTTTTGTTTCTCAATACAAAAAATGCAAAAGTCAATTTTTTTGATTTTTGAATTTCCAAATTTTTACGGAAAGTATCCGTATACCTACTGATATCGAGAAAAAAAAAATTCCGACGCTGATTATAATCATATAATAAAGGGTGTCCCATTAAGACCGCCTATTTTAAAATTTAAAAAAAATGCCGTGTTTATTTAAAAAGTTAAGATATTTTTATTGCAATAAAGAGGGAAAACATGGAGGTTAAATATGGAACACAATATCCGATAAATGGCCGCCTCGTGACTGACGGCACACGTTGGTTCTTTTGACAAAATTTTCGATTACATTTTGGCATAGTGCCGGCTCAATTTCATCAATGACCCGTCGAATCTCATGTTTTAGTTTAGGAACTGTTCTTGGGTTATTAGCATAAACCTTTTCCTTCAAAAAACCCCAAAGAAAGAAATCTAACGGCGTCAAATCGCATGATCGGCCTGGCCACATCACATCCTCGCGGCGCGAGATAACTCTGCCTTCAAATTTTGTCCTCAATAATTCCATGGTTTCGTTGCTGTGCATGGTCTGCTGTCTTTAAATATTGTGTCAACCGAATCTTTTACGCATGAAAATGCAGGTCTTTGGCCAAAATTCGCTGTAAACTGCTTCGAGAGAGTCTCAATTGATGGGAACGGTGGCGAATTGAGGTGGAAGAATTATGTTCAACACTTTCACTAACTGCTGCAAAATTTTCAGCAGACCGAGCTGCACGAACATGGATATGTCTCTTTTTGGTTTGAATTGACCCAATCGTTTCAAATTGCTCGATTATAATCGGACCACAGTACGGCGAGAAGGTGCGTTATGGTGACCAAAAAATCCTCGATATCTTCAAACCGTTTCCGAAAAATTATCACCGTTTCGATAGTGGATTTTTACAATTTCTATGCGTTGTGCGTCTGTGTAAATCTCCATGACTTAACCTCAATGTTCACACATGACCACTGTCCAACCTCAACGCTATACGATTGACACAAAAAAAATGACACTAAATTTAAAATAGGCGGTCTTAATGGGACACCCTTTATTATAATTATAAAAATTATTTCTTTTATTTTAATTCAGTAAGAATATTCTACCGGGCCGCAAAACAACATAGTCGGTGCTATATTAACATAACTTTTATTTAACACTTTGATTTATAAAATTATAATTTTGTAATTTAACTTTATAAATCATTCATTATTTTATAGTTAAGATATTTTTAATGGACTCCTTTTTGCAACAAAAAACACAGTAAATTTCACGTTTACTTTTATTTTATTAAATTTAATTTAATGTTTAGTTTTATTTTTTTTTATTTAACATAATGTTAACTTGTTGATTGCTATTTTTTTTCAAATGTGTATATTTTGAAAATATTAATTTCCAAAAAAAATCCAATTTTTCCCAAAAAAGCCAATTTTTCCAAGACCTGGGAAAAAACGGCAAAAACAGGATTTTTCTCAAATTTTTCGGTTTTTTTTCGACCTTTTAAAACCCGAATGAAGACCGAAGTACAACTTTAAATTAAATAGGCTTGTATGTGGTTTATAATAATATTTAAAAGCAATATTTCTTCATCCTGGATGATATTTTAATGCCACCACCACATTTTTAATGAAAGTCAATGAAATACTTCTTAAAAACAAATGGGCCTTCCCAACAAGCTATTTTGCAATAATTTATCATATTTGTTTTTATGGTATTACACAGAAAATTATTTCGCAAAAAGGGGCATTTTAATCAAAGTTAGGTATAATAACCTTGCAAGAATTAGTTTTGTTGTTAAAAATGCTTTGCTTAAAAGATTTTTAAAAAACATATCCATATAATATATATTATAGTTTAATTAATTCATATTAGTTTTTTTAATTAATTTTAATTAACATGAGCAATTTTTTAGAAATATTTTAGCAAATTATTTTTAATTACACAAATATGGATGATGGAAAAAACGGTTGTCATACCCCCAGATAACATTATGAGGTTCATAATTGACGCATATTGCAGTGATTGTAATCCGCACGTATGCACGCACATATGCATCATTTGCGCCATCAATTGAGGGGCATATAGCCAGCACATGTGATGGTTGGAGAATCATTGCGATGTTCATAATTTACGCATATTGCAGTCACAACGTGATTCTTAACGTATGTCACATATATTCATCATTTGAGTCATCAATTGAGGTTCATATAGCCAGCGCATGTGATGGTTGAAGAAATTGCCTGGACAAGATTAACAGGTGAATTTTGGAATTGCATTGCCTTAATTTAATTGTTTTTCTTACGTTTCGATTAGTAATTATCTTTAATTGTCTTCAGTTATTAGGTACCTGAAGACCATTAGAGATAATTAATAATCAAAACGTTGTAAGAAAAACAATCAAATTAAGACAAGGCAAGTCCAAAACTCAGCTGTTAATCATTAATGAATTATGAATTCATAAAATTGATTTATTGCGAAGTTTTGGTCAATAAGTAATAATCCAAAAGATCTTTTTCTTCAAGCCATTTATTTTAGTTTTTTGTGACAATTGTCTACATTTATAGAAAGATATCTTATTTTAATTAAAATTAGGTATCTTTTTATAAATTCATAAATAAATGAATTATAAATTATAATATATAAACCTATAAACGTGTTAATTCGTTGATCTTAAGATCAATTCCAATTTGGAGTTCCAAATAAAATTATGCATATTTTTTATACAAATGTAGTCTACAAATTTAGTCTTTACAAATCCAGTCTTTTCACAAATTAACCATATGGTGGAAGTCAATTTTTTGAAAATTTTAGTTACAATATGTAGTAAAATCAACAATTTTTGCAAGATGTAGTGTAGATCTAGAATTACATCTACAATTTTGCAATAAATATTCAGCAAAAGTGAAAAGTTTGCAATAATTTCGTGCCCTCATATACCAATCACGTGCGTGTATTTCCATTAATCATAAAATGAATATCATATCGCAGCGTTTTTACCCTCATGCATGATTCCGCACGAAGTGAAGGCTATGTGCGTTTTGATGCCCGTGCATGTATTCCCATGAATCATATGAATCAATGAATATCATATCTCAGCGTTTTTACTGACACGCATGATTCCGCACGACATGCGTTTGCTTCTCGGGTCTCTTGAGTAAATATGGTTTTATAAGGGTATATATGACATCCCATAATACAGCAAAGTTAAAACTTACAAGGGTAATAGGAGTTTTGGTTTTAAAGGTAGGTTTTGTTGTTTTCCATAATCTCAAACGTCTTTTCAAAGAGTGTGATAAAGCTTTGATATTATATTTAGGTGAAAGCCAAGAGGGAATAATGCTTATACTTACAAGTGATGAGTACCAAGGCAGCTCTCACTCCGTATTCATATAAATTATGCATTGAACTCTTCTGGAGTTTCAAGGACAGCCATTGTGTCCACGTGATGTCGATGGCAACGTACATTTGGAGGGCGTGAGAAAAAAATATGGCAAGAGATAACATCAACTTAGCGATATCTGCAGGTCTAAAAAAAGTTGGGTTAAAATTTATTCAGCAATAAAAACATATAACTTACATTTTGTCTTTCAATTCTGTGTATCCTTGTCCGACATTTAGTGTAATTGAAGCTTTTGTGTCTGCACCATATGCCAAAAATCCAAAGAGACCCATGAGAATGTACATTAAAACAATCGCAAACATCGAAATATTAAGCACCCCAAATGACCCACCGAATGATTTGGGTGTTTTCATTTCATTTTCCAAAGGCATTATCTAGAAGAGAAAGGGTGTCAATAAACAAAAAATGTCATCACTTTTCCAAACTTACCACACCTATGGCTTCGAGAGCAAACAGTACAGTCCCGAAGTACAGTGGCATATCCTCCAACTTCCCCACCATGTCCCTTCCTTCCAAAGTGATATTCTCCAAAACCAAATAGTACAAAATAATTCCAAAACCTCCAATAGTGATTATGTTGGCGATCGTCATCAGTGGTGCCAGTAACTTCAGGTTTCTGATGAAGTTGATTAAAATTAAAGGTAGGAGGAATATCAGCATATACAGTCTGTGATCCATCTCACCGATGTACTCGTCACCGACTTGCTTCACGTTATCAGCTATGAAGACTGTGTATACGCAGCAAGTTCCTAGCTGGTAGGTGAGCAGGAAAGTGTTTACCACTGCTCTAAAATAGAAAATATATTAATAACTGCCAGAAACATCGGAAAGACGATTAAATTTGGTAAACGTTTTATAAAGGTACCTTTTTTGTCGGTGTTTTGTTAGCAAGATATAACGAGTTAAAGTTTTTCCAGGATATCTCGAGAAACAAATAGAATGTACAAAATTTGGTGAAAGCATTGAAAAAAGGATTAAATTTGGAAAATATTTTGTTATGATACCTTTCTTGTAGGTATTTGGGTTAAAGAGATATAAGGCTTTAAAGTTGAAATGAGGATTTTGGGTGACTTGTACGGTTTTTCCAGGTTATATCCAAAAATACATAAGATATACAACGTTTGTCCGAATCATTGTTATAAGGACTAAATTTGGAAAAAATGTTGTTATGGTACCTTTCTTGTAGGTATTTGTGTTAAAAAGATATAATGCTTCAAAGTTTATAAGGATTTTAGAGGACTTGTACGATTTTTCTATGTTTTCTCCAAAAATACATAAGATATACAAAGTTTGTCTAAAGCACTAAAAAGGGGATATAATTTGGAAAAAATGTTGTTAAGGTACCTTTCTTGTAGGTATTTGGGTTAAAAGGATATAAAGCTTCAAAGTTGATATGAGGATATTGGGTGAATTGTACGGAAATCCAGGTTATCTAAAAAAATACACAAGATATACATTGTTTGTCTGAAGCATTTAAAAAAAAAACTTAATTTGGAAAAATTGTTGTTATGGTAACTTTCTTGTTGGTATTTGGGTTAAAAAGATATTAGGTTTCAAAGTTAAAATGAAGATTTTAGGTGAGGTGCGATTTTTCCAGGTTTTCCCCAAAAATGCATAAGATATACAAAGTTTGATCAAAGCACTGGAAAGGGGATTAAATTTGGAAAAAATTTTGTTATGGTACCTTTCTTGTAGGTATTTAGGTTAAAAAGATATAAAGCTTCACAGTTGAGATGAGGATTTTGGGTGAATTGTACGGTTTTTCCAGGTTATCTAAAAAAAATACACAAAATATACAATGTTTGTCTGAAGCATTTAAAAAAGAACTTAATTTGGAAAAATTGTTGTTATGGTACCTTTCTTGTTGGTATTTGGGTTAAAAAGGTATAAGGCTAATATATTATATATAAGGATATATGTATATATGACATGTATGGTTTTTCCAGGTTATCTCCAAAAATACATAAGATATACAAAGTTGGTCAAAAGCACTGGAAAGAGGATTAAATTTGGAAAAAAAATTGTTTCGGAACCTTTCTTGTAGGTATTCTGGTTAACAAGATATAAGTCTTTAAAGTTGACAGATAGTCTTACTTACCCCGAATAAGGTGCACACTTTTGCAGGAAGGGTGGCCCATCCATAAGCGCGAATTGGACGGTTTGTGGGTATGTCATGCTGGGTAGCTGTCTTCTTTTGCATAAAACATATTCAGCTTTGATGAGCAAGTGTATGCAATACGTGCAAATGGCTCCAATAAGGGCGGTAGCAATAACACCAAAAAGGTAGCCCGAGTGGTAGAAAGCTAAGGGCATTGCCAGAATTCCAGTCCCCAAACTGCCTTTCAGCAGATGAAGGAGGGTCTCTGAATTTCTAAAAAAATAAAATGTTATTTATATGTATAAAGAGCAAAAATATTTAAATCCAAATTTGAATAATATCAATAATATTTAAATTTCTAATATTGGGAAGGTTATTTTGGTAGCGAGTAAATATTTTTCCGTGAATTTTTTAACGTGCAGTCCACGTGTTCCAATGGCAATAGAAAAGGCAAGCATAATCTTATTGGCAAATGTATCAAATCAATTTGGCCGACAAACAGAAGTCATAACCAACTAATTAGCAGACAGACATTTTATTGAAATACTTTTGCGAAACACGCCATTTGTTTATTTTTAAATTAACTAACGAACAATTTTCGTGCGAACTTTAATAATTGACGAAGTAGGTATTAATGATTTGTTTGCGTTTTTTACGCTTAAAATGTGACGCTTTCTTACTTTGAAACCATTGAGATTATTGAAATTTAAATTTGGCAATTTTTGGTCGTACTATTACATTTTTGTGGTTTTATTACATACATAATTTTTATATTAATTTATTATTTATTTATTTTAAGTGGGTTACCTTTAAGTAGTAAAAACTGTTGTAGTATATACAGGGTGATTCATAAGTAGTATGATTTCATTTGAAATATAAATATTTTTTCGAAAAATAAACAAATTAATTTGTTATCACGCAATACTGAGTCACAAAAAATTTATAGGATTTTTTTTTAATATACATGAAATTGTGATTTCAGTAATATGAAGATTTATACCTTTTGGGCCAATTATTAAAAGTGGAAAATGTATAGTTTTTAATAAAATACTTTTTAAATGGGTTTTGATAAAGTTAAAAAGTGTTTATAAACTTTCATAAACTTTCTCAAAATATTTAATTTCAAGATGTCGATATATGGAAGTTTTTATTTTATATTTCTTTGTAAGCATATAATTTAAAACAAATATTCAATACCAGATGTAAAAACTTTTAGTTCAGCGTTCAGTGAAGTATCTGTCTCTTAAGCGTTCTCCAAATATTTCGAAGTATTTAAATATGTACTATTTACCGAAAACACAGAGAATTGAAGTTTTAATTTAAGCGACTTGCTTGTGAATTTCGCGAACTCGATCCGACGTTCCGTTTTTCTGGACACGTTTTTGATAAATGTTCCTTAGAACCGCACACAAAACATCCTGGACACTCACTTTTCTTATGATTCTGTTTTCCACACAGAAAACACCCAAACTTCTTTGGTTTTTGGTTTTTGAACTGCTTACTAGGACCACTACCTTTTTGATGTGTCTTTCTCGAGAAAAACGCAGCTGAAGTTTCAGTGTACTTTTCTTCATTGCCATTTATTCTCAATCTTCAGTCAATAAACGAGATGTCAGATTTTCTAGTGCTTTTGTTCATTTCTGTTGAACCCCATGCACTATGGAAATGATTGTACTTTGGTGGCAATGTCGACAATATTCTTGTAATTAACATTGAAACCGGAATCATTCCACCAAGAGCTTTCATTCGATTCGCTAATCGTTCTAGCTTGGAAATATTTTGCGCAATGCTACTTTCAGGTTCCCAATGGAATTCAAAGAACTGCTTCTGCACCAAAGAGAGGCTTTCTTCCGATTTCATTTCGTACACATTGTGCTGCTATCTTTTCTAACTGAGGGTTGAGTTTTCTATAAGTTTATTGACATGTATACAACCGCAATTAATCTTAACAAAACTAGAACACAACAAGAAGTTTGCAATTTATTTAATGCAAAGTATTCAGCTCAACCTATTACTCGTGCTACGGTTAGTAAACTTGAACGGAAATTCAGAAAGACTGGACATGGCAAAGATATTCCAAAACCTGGCCGTCCGAGTATTAGTGAAGACACTAAAATTTACATTTTGTGTGGAAGATCCTCAAAGTGCTTTTAGCCTAGTCAAGTCAGCCAACGCTCAGTATTACATCTTATGAAGAAAGAAAAGTGCCATCCATACAAAATTAGACTATGCAGGAACATAACGAAGAGTTCACACAGGTCCACACTAAATAGTGTTGTTTTATAACACTACAATTAGAGTTAATTTGTAGTGTAATTTTCCCCAAGTAAGCAAGTTTGATTTAATAATATAGCACTGAGGATAAAGTAATTTTACACTGAATTAAAAAGTGTTAATTTACCTAAAATCGTGTACTTCTACACTTCCTGTGTAAAATCCCACTTTTGTTCAGTGTAAATTAACACAACTTTGGAAAAGTTCTAATTTTAGAAAGGTACTTTTACTCTTTTAGTGCAAACTTCTAGTGTAAATTAACACATTATTTGAGTAAAACCTATTGGTGATAGTGAATAAAACGAAAAGGTAAATAAGAGAAACATTTATTTGGAACAAAAATCTATGACAATTATCAAAATCGGTGCAAATATAATTTTATATTGGAGTCGTATGGCTGGCTTAAGCAAAATGGTTCCTTAAAACGTAAAAGTTTTAGATCAATGCAATATTTTACTGGATGTCAACTTGTAAGCAATGAATTATCTTGAGAATTCATCAGTAATCCATTTTTCTGTTATAAAAAATGGGTGACCCCATTGGTAGAGTGGCGTCAGGCGGCTGTGTGTCGGGGATTTACCACACCTGTACAAATTTTCCATAATATTAATAAAAATGTACACAGAAAAAACTAGCATAGCATGAATGGGTGAGCCATTAAACCAATGGGATCTTGTAATCCGTATTCCTGAATAACAGTTCCTATAATTCCAATGGGTAGTTAGCACTTGGTTTATAATCGTTTACTGTTTTTAAATTAATAACAAAAGTTATCGCTCCTAAATCTATTGATATTCATATTGATATTTATTTGTTAGAATGTTAGAATGTTATTGCATTAAATACTAATTTGATTTATTTAATAACGTTACTATTGTATGTATACATTTAACTTAATAAAATCCTTGACAATTAGGCAAAATATTTCCCTATTTTGGTTTAATAGTAATTAATTGAGCAAATAACAATTTAGATTGCTTCAATTTTAATGCATTCAATGACAACGCTGTTCTTGGTACTATGTTAGATTTTTTTCTGTGTAGGTATAGGTTAGGTATAACAACCATTACGCTTGAAAATAAAAAGTAAATGAAGTGTGCAAATCTTATATTATTAATGTTACAAGTACCCGACCTACTGCCGTAAATTATTGATATATAATATAGGTCGGGTATGGACATCCTTTCAACATATTGGTATTTATTGAGTATTAAGGCTTAAAGAAAAAGGAAGTATAATACTTACCAAAAATAAGAATGTCCCCTTATGTATTCACCGTAATTAAAATCTAACTTAACAAAAATGCCACACTTCCACAACGCGGTATCTCCGGATATGCACTGCGTAGGTAGATAGGTACCAACCAAACATTTTAAAACGCATTTTGGTTATTACCAGTTTTTCAGTGTATTTCGCCACTATTGGTGTAATTTAACTTTATTTGTGATACAATGTGCACTAGTAGTGTAAAGAAAAAAGAGCTCTTAATATATTAAGAGCTCTTTTTTCTTTACACTACTAGTGCACATTGTATCACAAATAAAGTTAAATTACACCAATAGTGGCGAAATACACTGAAAAACTGGTAATAACCAAAATGCGTTTTAAAATGTTTGGTTGGTACCTATCTACCTACGCAGTGCATATCCGGAGATACCGCGTTGTGGAAGTGTGGCATTTTTGTTAAGTTAGATTTTAATTAACACAAATGCCAATTTCTTTGTTTGTTTTGATGTTATAACATCAAAACAAACAAAGAAATTGGCATGCACTATAGTGTACATTTTGTCACTATTTAACACATTAAGGGGTAATAAACACTCCCATTAAGTTTTTCTACCCTTTTGATTTATTTTATTAATAAATGTGTTTAATAAGCACTAAATGCTACCTAGTGTATTTTGTAGTGTAACTTTTACACTTACAAATCAATTCTAATATTTTACCCCTACACTAAAAAATTTACACGGGCAAAATTTTTTACTGTGTAATATGAAAAAAATGTGGAAATAGTTAAAAGCTTATTTTAATAAAAAACCGTATAAGTAGAACTTTAGTGTATAAAAATCAAAAGACCCTTTGCTGGACCAAATCTCCAAACAAAACCTAATTTAATAAGTACCTAACCTTGACATGACACATGGTTTCAAAGCCCATTGAAATTTATTACATATTAATCTATATTTAAGAAACCACTTCCATATCCGGTCAACATGTATGGCAAATTTTATTTCATACCTATTATCTACGTCATCAATTTATGTTTGAACTGGTGGGCCATAAAGAAATTTTATATTAAAATTTAGATAATTAGAAATATGTTTTGTTTTTTCGCAAAACAATTATTAATTTGTTAATTATGACAATCAATCAATCATAGATTAGTAGGTATCTATAGATAATAATAAAGTGTTTATAATGGAATACTTTTTTTTATAAATATTTAACTGTATATTAGCGCTAGCTGTAATTTTAGTTGTTTTTTTGCACGTGCTATATAAAATGTTTTAGTTACATTTATAAATTTAAAATATTTTCAACTATCATGACATACATTGTACCTATTAAAAGACAAAATTTACCAACAGTTCACTTCAGTATTAAACAAAATGATTTCAAATCAATTTTTGAAATAATTTTTAACTATTATTTAAAAAAAAAGTATAATTTATTGGGACAGAACTAGTTTTGTAAATCTTAAATAAATATTTAATACAATTATTTAGATTAAATTGGTAAGGTTAAATTTTTTAGTATTTAATAGTATATTATGTATCAAGTTTAATAAACGCCATTTTAGTTACGAGTTTTATTAAGCACGAGCGAAGCTTAATAAAACCAGTGTCTAGAAAAAATTGTAAAACGAATTTCATACTATACTTTATCTACGACTAACAGAAATAAGAATTTAATGCCAATTTTAATTCATAAATATTTGACATCTGACGAATTTAACCTCACTTTTACGCAAATTATAATAAAGCTTCAGCCCGTGACTAAAATGCCCAAAAGCCCCTGTTGCTAACTTCAGCCCATGACAAAAACGCCATAAAGTCACAGCTTGTCAATGTGGAAGTAGATAACAATAGTGTCGAGACATTTAAAAAAAAACACATATATAACATTTTCTACCAAAATAGTTTCAAAAGTTAAATTTTTTTAAACTTATAACAATTGGTAATCAAAAAATATTTTAAATTTAAAATACAAATGTAAAGGTTTAAGTTTAAATTATTGGTTTAAGTTTGTAAAGAGTCATTTAAATGATAGTCGATACATTTTTAATACTAAATATCTCACATTACATTTAAATGTTAGTTTTAAATTTTAAAGTGGTAATTTTTGGATTACAAATTTATCGACTATCATTTAAATGACTCTTAAGAAATTTAATCCAAAAACTTTTGTTTACCAATTTAAATTGATACATTTTTAACATTTTTACATTTAAATGTAAGTCGATAATTTTTAATTTTACAAAAAAATGTTGACTTTCAATTGTTTTGAGTTTAAAAAAACTTTACTTTGTAAATTTCTGTTAAAACATCATTAAAGTGCTAAACTTTAATCTTTAATATTATCTAATAAATGCTAAAATGTCGTGCCATAGTTTTGACAATAAGTTTCTTAAAGCCAACTTACGTTGTAGGATGATCCACAGATCTAAACAAGTAAGGATCATAGTCGGCTACTTCGCCGGTAGTTTTTAGGTCCTTCAGCTGGATCGTGTTGTCCTTGTCCTTTCGGGTCAACACCTCCTGCGACTCAAACGTAGGGGTAAAACTGCAAACAGACAAATACATTGAAAGGCTTCATTCTTTAACATACAAACCCCAGTAACACTATAATGCTTTTATAGCGTTATTCAAGAGCTCTTTAAAACTATACAATAAAACTTTGAATAAAACCAAATGATCTTAAAGACAGCCTTAGGACCATCAAAAACAACTTCTAGCCCAAAAGAGACCATCCTAAAAGGGTCTTCAAGACTAAATTTTAAAACTATATTAAAACCATTTAGTTTTATAAAGTTATATAGTTTTATTTTGACCCACTAAACACGAAAATCACACTTAATTTTTTTTATGGAAGCGTTTTTATGGAAGCGTTTTTGAATTTTCAATTGTTTTTTTTTCAATTTTCGGAGGTGTTTTGACGTTTTTGAGTATAGCTTGAAATATAATTGATCGATTTGGTCAAACAATTGAAGGTATTTGAGCCCTCTAAAAATTTCTTTTACATACTTTTGATATCGGATAAGTATGTTGACGCTAGCGATTTTAATAACTTAAAAAAATCGATTTATGGCAAAAATTGAGGTCGAAAATTTATATATTGTCCTGGGAAAGGTTTAAATCAAAAAGATAACTCCAGTTTGAATTTTTTTTCGTGAAGCTAATATTTTTACAAAAAAACAAGCTAATGTTGACAAAAATACATGGAAAATGGCGAATAGTGGAAGATCAAAATTCAGCTTTTTGACGATTTTCCTTTTATTTTTTTTATTTTATTTTGTAATATGTTTATTCTTTAATGAAAACATAAGTAAAGTGCATTATTGGAATTTTTTGGGTTTTTTAAGTACTTTTTTCACCGAAAACATTATTCAAAATTTAAATTTGACACGCAAAGGTATTTTTATCATGGTTTTATTTAGTTAATAAAAAGTATAAAATGAGTAAAAGAAGTAGAGAGTTCGAGTGCGTAAATAACCCGGACAATCTGGGCGACGTAAGTGATGAACACGGAGAACGTTTTCACCAGCAAATGTAGGCTATGGAGCGGCGGTATCACGGCTTCTGGGATGCAGCCATGATGGGTGATTACATTTGGTCCCTCATACGAGAAACGGAATACGAAAGCAACAAAAAACAAAGAAGGAGCCAGATTTTTTTTAAACCTATGCTTATTACAACAAAATAAAACTTCAATGTTCAATATTTATTGTTCATTATTCAATTTAAAATTTAATTTAAATATTTAATGTTTAAAATAAAAATCAATGTTCAATATTAAATTTTATATAATTCAATAAACTAAAGAAAAAAAGTAAAATTCTCGAAAAACTGAATTTTAGTCTTCCACTGAAAAATTCATAACTTCGCCATTTATTCATGGATAATCTATACGAAAAATAAATCAAACTAGATTTATCTTTTCGATTTCTATCTTTCCCAGAAAGATATGTAAATTTTCAACCTTGATATTTGTAAAAAAAAAACTTTTTCAACTTCATAAAATCGCCAGTATCAAACTACTGAGCCGATACCAAAACTATACAAGAGAAAGTTGTAGAGGGCTCAATTACATTTTGGTCAAATCGATCAATTAGAACTCGAAGTACCTATACTCTAAAACGTCAAAACACCTCAGAAAATTTCAAAAGAAACATATCGCCATATTTAAAGCAGATCATAAAAAATATTCAAATGCAAACTACTCTGGTAAAAATTTAACAACGGGTGGTACTTTTTTGACAAAATATTATAAAATACTTCTACATAACTCGAGCGCCACCAATTTAATGTTTTTTATTATTTAAAAAATATTGTCAAATTTTATTTCGCATCTAAACATCGTTTTTGAGTTATTTAAGGGGATGTAAGGCGCATAGTTTCCAATAATATGACTTTTTCTTTGACTACTGAAAATGTACATCATAGCATGTCGCCATCTAGATTAAAACTGATTGCAAGTTTATAGAACATTTAAAATCTTACAAGGCTTAAAACAGCGTTTTATTTATCACTTTAAGTACAACCATAGTATACCCTCGCAAACGTCTTTACTATTCATTTTAAAATTGAGTGGCTTTAATATGTTCGAACTCATGGCAATTTTGATTTAAAGTGGTCTAATGCGCGAATGAAATCCTAACCTTACAAATTGTGCCGTTTTTTTTAAATTACCACTTTGTTTTAATTTAAAATACTTGTCGCTAATATTTTCTAATTTTCTTTCACGCTTAGTTTTAAGTTTTAATAAAGTAGTCAAAAATCGAACAGGCATTTTTTAATCAAATTAACTAAATTAAAACTTTTGAACTTTAAAATATTCTCAATGTAGGTACTATTTAAAACGTAAAAATATATTTTAGTCGAATTTTATAGAGCTTATAGGCCTAAGATAAAATAGTTATCAATGGGTTTTAATGAGTACATCAAGGGTACTTCATAAAACTACATTAAAACTATTTGTTCCAAAATGGATTTTTTGAAAACCAACTTGCTATTTAATCCTTAAAAAAATTAGTTTTAAAATAGCCAATTGGCTTTAATGTCAAGAGTAGGTACCTATTATAAAACCAGTATAAGATAAATAGGGCATTAAAAGCTATAGTTTTTTATTTTAATTTAAAGAGTACATTAAATAATTTACATAAGAATAAATGGCCTTTAAGAACTTTTAATTTATCTTAAGGTAGCTTCAAAACTAATATCGTTTTATTAAACATATTAAAGCACCATTTTAAAAATGACCCTCTATATGATTAAGCAGTCTGCTAGACATGAGGAAACCATAGTTTTTAATCTACGATTTGTTAGTAGTTTTTATCGTGTTGAAAGAAGAATCATTGTGCGTAAGAAATGAATTTGTAGTGTTTTTTTATCTGTTTATAGGTACGATTCGTATGATTGAATACAATAGTTGAAGTCTTAATCACAGCAAATAAAACATAATACTTTTGTTTGTTTTTGACTCTATTGATCTTTTAATTAGCTTAGATTTATGTTCATGTTAACAAAGTATTAAAATTATTATGTCGTAAACTTTGTAAGTGTATGTTGTGAATAAAAAAGACTATAAATTGTTATTGTTTTTGTACTAAATTATATTATTTTTAATGAGAATTGACCACAAGAAATCTTCTGGAAAATACCCACAAATTTAAGTTTACTTTGTAATAAGAATTATGATCGACTGTTTTTAAACTAAATAAACATTGGTTTAAGTGTTTTTTATGGAATTTTAAAAAATATTAAGGAGGTTTGGATTTGGATACCAATCATTAAAAGTTTTTATTGTTTTTTCTAACATTTTTCCGCACCATATGTTTAAAATATATTTAGAATATCTTGATTAGTGTAATTATTATCACCCATTGTAACACAATTGTCAGAGACGTTGACATTGACATTAATTTATAAATACGAAATTAAAGACAATCCAACGCACACTACTGATATAGAAATAAAAAAATAAGCGGTTTTTTCACATTTTTTGTGAAATTCACTTTAGGTACAAAATCGAAAAAAAATTCTGACCACCATATCCCATTATAATTTTCCCATGTATTTTGACCCACTGATCACGAAAATCACACCCAATTTTTTTTTATGGAAGCGTTTTTGAAATATGAATTTTCAATTGTTTTTTTTTTAATTTTCGCAGGTGTTTTGGCGTTATTGAGTATAGCTTGAAATCTAATAGATCGATTTGGTCAAACAAGCCCTTAAATTGAAGGTATTTGACCCCCTAAAACTTTATTTTACATACTTTTGATATCGGGTAGGTATTTTGACACTAGCGATTTTAATAACTTTAAAAAATCGTTTTTATGGCAAAAATTGAGGTCGAAAATTTACATATCGTCCTGGAAAAGGTTTAAACCAAACAGATAACTCCAGTTTGAATTTTTTTTCGTGAAGCTGACATTTTTACAAAAATAAGCTAATGTTGATAAAAATACATGGAAATATACCGAAGTTATGAATTTTTTAGCGGAAGACCAAAATTCAGCTTTTTGACGATTTTTATTTTATTTTTTTTCTTTACCTAATTAAGTCCATGATTGGAATTTTTTGAGTTTTTTACGTACTCTTTTCACCGAAAACATATTCAAAATTTAAATTTTACTTGACATCGCAAACGTGAATTCTTTTGTTTCTCGTGTTGGCATAGTGACATTTTACTGCTATTTTTTGATATTTCAACAATTTGTTTTTATCAGGGATTTATTTAGTTATAAAAAGTGTAAAATGAGTAAAAGAAGTAGAGAGTTCGAGTGCGTAAATAACCCGGACAATCTGGGCGACGTAAGGGATGAGCACGGATAACGTTTTCACCAGCAAATGAAGGCTATGGAGCGGTGGTATCACGGCTTCTGGGATGCAGCCATGATGGGTGATTACATTTGGTCCCTCATACAAGAAACGGAATACGAAAGTAACAAAAACAAAGGAGCCAGAATTTTTTTAAACCTATGCTTATTACAACAAAATATACTTTCAATGTTCAATATTTATTGTTCAATATTCAATATATAATTTAATTTCAATATTTAATGTTTAAAATAAAAATCAGTGTTCAATATTAAATTTTATATAATTCAATGAAATGAAAAAAAAAACTTTAAAATTCTCGAAAAACTGAATTTTGGTCTTTCACTGAAAAATTCTTAACTTGGCCATTTATCCATGGAGTTAATAATTTTTTATTTTTTCCTTTAAGTATAATCTATACGTAAAATAAATCAAACTGGACTTATCTTTTTGATTTCTATCTTTCCCAGAAAGATATATAAATTTTCGACCTTGATTTTTGTAAAACAAAAGGACTTTTTCAACTTCAAAAAATCGCCAGTATCGAACTACTGAGCTGATACCAAAACTATACAAGAGAAAGTTGTAGAAGGCTCAATTACCTTTGATTTAAGTGTTTTTGATCAAATCAATCAATTAGAACTTGAAGTATACTCTAAAACGTCAAAAAACACCTTAGAAATTAAAAAAAAATAATTAAAAATTCATATCTCGAAAACGCTTCCATGAATAAAAGAATTA